ATAAAATAACTATTAAAAATCGTTATCCTCTTCCACTAATAAATGAATTAATTGAAAGGTTAAGAACTGCAACTATATTCACTAAACTCGACCTTCGAGGCGCATATAACCTCATTAGAATAAAACAGGATGATGAATGGAAAACCGCCTTCCGGACAAGATATGGTCTCTACGAATATCTAGTGATGCCTTTCGGGCTCTGTAATGCCCCTGCAACGTTTCAACATTTTATCAATGATATCTTTAGAGATCTTCTGGATGTATGTGTTATTATCTACTTAGATGATATCTTAATATATTCTAACAATTTGGATGAACATAGGAAACATGTTAGATGGGTTCTATCTAGACTGAGAACTCATAAATTATACGCTAAACCAGAAAAATGCCTTTTTGAGGTTACTGAATTCTCTTTTCTAGGATACATTATTTCACCTCATTCTTTGAAGATGGATAATTCCAAAATCAAATGTATTATTGATTGGCCTGCTCCTACTACTACAAAAGAATTACAACGTTTTCTTGGATTTGCAAACTTCTATAGAAAATTTATTAGAAACTATTCGGATGTATCACATCCTCTTAACCTCCTCAACAGTAGTAAACGTCCTTTTAATTGGAATAAAGATGCTCAAACAGCCTTCGACGAATTAAAAAAAAGATTTACAACTGCACCTATTCTACAACTACCTAATCCAACATTCCTATATGTTCTTGAAGTTGATGCATCAGATGCAGCCATCGGAGCAGTTCTTTCTCAACAAAAGACTCCACAAGATCCACTTCATCCAGTTGCCTTTTTTTCAAGATCCTTGAGCTCTGCTGAAAAAAATTATCCTATTGGTGAAAAAGAATTATTAAGTGTTAAAGCTGCCTTCGAAAATTGGCGTCATCTTCTGGAAGATACAAAACAACCTATAATAGTTTATACTGACCATAAAAATCTTGAATATCTCTATACTAACAAAACCCTTACAGCTAGACAAGTTAGATGGAACCTATTCTTTAACCGATTTAACTTCCAATTAATATACAGACCTGGAAATAGAAATAAAAAGGCTGACGCTCTTTCTCGAATTCCTTCTAAAACTACTACTGATGATTATCCTTCTACCAAAATAATAGGAATCCTCTCTTCTCTTCATGATGACATAAAGAATTTGAATCAGAAGGATCTTGAACTTCCCAAAACACCTATACTAACAAAAAAGGATGGTATATTTTATTTTAAAATAGAATTTATATTCCTCCCATTCTTAGGAATAAATTACTTAAGATGGTTCATGATTCCCCCCTAGCTGGACATCCTGGAATAAAGAAAACACTTGAACTAACTTCACGATATTATTGGTGGCCTCGCCAGGATAGAACCATTGCATTATATGTCAAAACATGTCCTATCTGTCAAAGGTCTAAACTAGAACATAATCAACCTTTTGGATTACTACTTAACTTACCTATTCCAGAAAAACCTTGGCAATCCATTTCTATGGATTTTATCGTTGATCTTCCACCTTCTCAACATTTCACCACTATTCTTGTCGTTGTGGATCGCTTCACAAAAATGTCCCATTTCATTTCTTTAAAAAAATTACCCTCCTCTGTAGAATTGTCTAAGGTCTTTATTGACAATATTGTGAAACTTCATGGTCTTCCTGAAGAAATTATTTCTGATAGGGGGACACAATTTACCTCCAAATTCTGGAAAGAGATGTGTCTCTCCCTTCAAATTCAACGCAAACTCTCTTCCGCTTATCATCCCCAAACTAATGGGCAAACAGAAAGGGTTAACCAATGTTTGGAACAATATCTTCGATGTTATTGTTCATACCTCCAAGATGACTGGACCACATGGTTACCTATGGCCGAATTTTCTTACAATAATACCATTCATTCTAGTACGAAAATGACTCCTTTCTTCTCCAACTATGGTTTTCATCCGTCTTCATTCCCCATCCAAACCATTACTTCATCCAATCCTACTGTTACATCAAAAAATGAATTTATGTCTTCTCTATTTTTCAAATTACGGAGAATCTTCAACTCGCCCAAAATAACCAGAAAAAGTTTTTTGACAATAATAGAAGAATTCCCCCTCCTTACAAGGTAGGGGATCTTGTCTGGCTCTCTTCAAGGAATATTACCACAAGCCGTCCTTCAAAGAAATTGAGCTCTCTTTTTCTTGGTCCCTTTCAAGTAATTACTATCATTAATGATAACGTTGTTAAACTAAAACTTCCTCCAAGTTTTAAACTTCATCCAGTATTCCATGTCTCCTTACTTAAACCACACATCCCTGATCCTTTTTATAGGGAAATAGTAACAACTCCTGAACCTATCATTGTCCAAGGTGAAGAAGAATATGAAATTCACAAAATTTTGGATTCTCGTGTCCACCGTGGCTCCTTACAATACCTTATCAGATGGAAAGGTTATGGAGTTGATGAAGACACTTGGGAAGATTCATCCAATGTACATGCTAGGAGGTTAGTTACTGCCTTTCACAAACGCTATCCCTCCAAACCGAAATAGTGCACCCAGAGGATGCCCCATGGGAAGGGGGTACTGTCAGGTATAGCATGGCATGTAATTTATCGCCGGAACCCACTTCCGGGTTCACGGCGCTCAGCCCCGCCCCTTTCTCTGACGCGGTCCCTCCACGATACTTAGGAGGACCGCGCCAGATTCAAAGGGCTGAATTATTCGCACAGGTGCTGCATGAAGATCAGCTGCTCTACTTCTGATCCTACCTGCTCCACTTCTATACCTCGGCTAGTAAACGGATTTCTACCTGCTCCACTTCTATACCTCGGCTAGTAAACGGATTTCTACCTTCTCCACTTCTCGACCTCGGCTTGTAAACGGATTTCTACCTTCTCCACTCCTAGACCTCGGCTTGTAACTCTGAATTCTACCTTCTCCACTCCCAGACCTCGGCTTGTTAAAACGGACTTCCCCACTCTCCACTCCTAGTTCTCAGCTTGTTGAAACGGACTTCTAATTTCTCCTTCATTGGGTGAATTAACCCTTCCAGTGCCAGAACTGCCTTTAAGTTAAGTAATACTTTTACCAAACAAGTCAATTACTATTATTTATATTACACAGTATCTAAAACTCACTAAAGTGTCACTTTGTCTAATTATTCCTCTTACTCATAAGGGATTGCTACAAAGCCTAATTTTACCTACATGGATATTTAAAGGTACAGTGACCATAGTTTCATACCAATATAAAAGGAGGTGAACCTTATTGTTGTTGCAACCAAGAAATGCTGCAGTTGAGTTCCAATTAAAGAAATATTACAAAATAAATATTACAGGGGCGAACAAAGTGCAGTTGAGGTAGATGCAGGTGCTGCTGGGTCACCTGGCATTCGCATGTCGGGTTTTGCCGATGGGACGGGCGTTTTGTCGCCGGCTCTCCTTGGCGACGGTGGGGATTCGAGAGCCATATCATTTTATACGGGTTACAAGAAAGCTCAAAGCGGACTTACAAGTGTGGAGTTCCTTCTTGGAGAGGTACAACGGCCGGTCGTGTTGGCTGCGAGCGGCGGTTGGTAACTCGGTGTTGGAACTCTTCACAGATGTGTCCGGCTCCTTCGGCTTCAGGGCATACTTCCGGGGCCGGTGGTGTGCGGAGGCTTGTCCGGAGAGTTGGCAAGGTAAGGATCTCATGCGTAACCTGACCTTCCTGGAGCTCTTCCCAATTGTTGTGGCTATGGAGTTGTGGGGACATGATTTGCGGGACCGAACGGTTGATTTTCACACGGACAACATGAGTGTTGTCCATGTGATTAATCGTGCGACGTCGGCATCGCCGCTGGTTCTGGCATTGCTGAGGCGCTTGGTCCTGTTGAGTTTGCAGGATAATGTGTGGGTTAGGGCATGTCATGTGCCGGGAGTGTTGAATATCGTGGCTGGTTCCAGTGGCAGCGTTTCCGAGAGGCGGCACGGGTGGGGCAGCCTTGCCCACAGTCTTTATGGGAGCTCGGTTCCGAAGATTGATGGGGCTGATGACGGAGTCGTTGTCGGCTTCCTCGTGGAAGTCATAACGGGCAGTGTGGTCTAAGTGGCTCGGGTTGGTGTCGGGGGAGAGTAGCCTGGCGTCGGACTCGGGGCGCTTTGAGGTAACCTTACTGTTTTTGGAGCAATTGTTGGAGGAAGGGCTGTCATGTGCCGCAGCGGAGAAGGCCCTGTCGGCCTTGTCTTTCTTGTTTAGGTTCCTGGGTTGGAGGGACATTACCAGGGAATTTAGCATTCAGAGAGCCCTGCGTGGGTGGCGACGGAGGAGGGTCCCGGATCGAAGGAGGCCTATTTCAGTGCAGCTTCTGTGGGTGCTCCTGGCGGCGCTGAGGCGGGTGTGTAGTTCAGAGTATGAAGTGTTGTTGTTCGGGGGTTTCTTTTTCTTTGTGCTTTTTTGGGGTGTTGCGGGTCGGGGAGGTGGTGGCCGCGAGCCGTTGGGCGGAGCCACCGCTGGTGTTGTCGGACGTGCGGTGGGCGGCCAGGGGTCTAGACATTAAGATCCGTAAGTCCAAGACGGATCAAAGAGGTGAAGGTGTGTGGGTACGTATTGATGTGCCGGGGAGGGTATTTTGCCCGGTGCACTTGTTTCGGAGATTCTTGGAGGTCCGCCCTGCGGCCGGGGGTTCTCTGCTGGTGCATCGGGACGGATCGCCGATGACGCGATATCAATTTGGGAAGATCTTGCGTGAATCCCTGGTGGCGAGGGCAGGAGCCCGCTAGAGTACTCGGCCCATTCTTTCCGGATTGGGGCAGCCATGCAGGCTAGTGGGATGGGATTTGCACCGGCAGCGGTGCAGAAGTTGGGTCGGTGGAGTTCTGGGAGGTTCCAGTTGTATGTACGGCCAAACCTATTGTAGGGTTTAAGGCTCGGGTGAGTAGCAGTTTCTTCCTTGGGCTGAAGGCGGAAGGCAGGCTGTTTGGACTCTGGTAAAAGGATGTTAGATCTGTCTGATGGATGAATCACCCCATCAGCTGACAGTTGGTATTAATGCTGGCAAAAACGTTAAATAAAGCTGTGGCCGTTGCCCTTATCCATTATACAGGTGTCGTGTGTTTATTGGGCAACGGATAGGTTAACGGGTCTGCAGTCAAGGGTTTCCCTGGACTGGCTAAGGAAGGGAAAGACATGACTGCTGCCCAGGAATGGGGGATGGATTAAAGGGGATACATATGTAGCAAAGGGGACCGGTATATAGGTGAAGCTGAAGGTGGGCCCTTGACACTCAGCAGGAAGGGAGATATCTGACAGGAGCTTTCCCACCCTTCCTCCCTGTGTTAGTCAATGTTAGTAGTAGGTGGTGGTGGTGGTGTTTTCTCGGTGTCTGGTTGTCTCTGTTTTTGTTTTGTCACAGCGGAATACCTGGCCAGCGCATGGGAAGGCAAGTGCCAAGTCGGATTGGTGAGTCGCAGTCTGCTTGGGCTGAAGGAGGAAGGCAGGCTGCTTTGGACTCTGGTAAAAGGATGTGATATCTGTCTGATGGATGAATCACCCCATCAGCTGACAGTTGGTATTAATGCTGGCAAAAATGTTAAATAAAGCTGTGGCCGTTGCCCTTATCCATTATACAGGTGTCGTGTGTTTATTGGGCAACGGATGGGTTAATGGGTCTGCAGTCAAGTAACTATAGTAATTCCAATTTTTAGCAGCACCTTCACTCTTTGTAACTGAATGCTCTGTCAGACCTACTTGAAAAAACTAGAGTGGAAAACAGACAGGGGCAGTTTTCTGGCTGTTACTATAGCAACTGTAGCTAGGATTTTAGTAAAGAGTGGTGTGAAATCAGGGGTGGAATAAATAGCTCACAAAGAAAACACATAACTGAAGAGCTACACCTATTTATTTTTTTTATTTTTTTTGTGATGTATACATTGTTAAATCAGATCATGACATTTTTACCTATACCAATAATGTATGTGCATGCTTTTATTTTGTCATCTCCAATGGGGATTATCAGACATATTATTTGTTTGGCTGACTGGGCACTGTGTGTGTGTGATTTGTTAGTTTTCATTTACTTGCCCAATTGGAGGGTCACTTCAACTTAAGGTTGCCTTTGTGACAACTACTTTTTTTTTTTCTAAAGTTTCCTAGCTCTGAATGTATTAGTACTATACATGCATATACTTTAATCCTTTTCATAGATCCAGTCGCCAAAGACATGCGATAGAAAGCACCACAGACAATAACTGTGGTGTGTTTGAAAAGTACAAATAGCTATATATGATAAAATAAAGCAACATGTATTTTTTTTTTTCATTTTGCTTTGCCTTCTAATATGTTAGGAGTTTGTTTACTAATATATGAATTGGTTCAAGTAAGCCCTCAAGAGGACTTTGACCCAACATGACTATACAAGTGGAGAGCAAGCAGCCTCATTTTCTGCATTCAAAGTTAGCTTTTGGAACACTTGTTTAACTGAGATTGTAAACCTTAATAATTTTGCAGCCCTTGTGAGAAGACATAGTTAATTGTTTGAAACTGAACTTTTTACATTATTATTAGTTGTAGGGTAACGGAGTGATAGATATGCTGTAAAAAAAATGTCCATTTCTGTCTTCCCTAGGTATTGCATACCTTTTTGCCAAAGCATATCTACTATCCAAAAAGCCAATCTATCTGGATTCTTGTATCCGATGTGGAGAGTTAACCTGGCAGAAAGGCTTGTTGAAGAAAGGACCTGGAATTTGTCATGGAGTTGCTGGCAGTGCCTATGTATTTTTATTACTTTACAGAATTACTGGTAACTCCAAATACATTTACAGAGCACAAAGGTTAGTAATCTTACATGATGGATGCAGAGATGGATGCAGTCATCATATAGCTATAGAGCAAGATTTCAAGTACAAATGGGCATAACATATTTGAATAGTGTGTGCAACTAGGAATTGTATTCCCTTAAAGAAGAACATTAGGTAGATTTAGCAATGTGTTATTATCTGAAAAGTGATGCATAATGTGAAATCGCAGGATATCACTTCCTCCGTGCCGGCAGATACTGCAGAGGCCTGGTCAGGCTCTTAAAGGGCCGGTGCACCTGACTGGGCCCCTATTCAGTAATAATACTCATCGGGTGAGGAATCAGGGGGCATTTGTTGAGGGCATTTTATTTATAAAATATTTTACCAGGATGGATACATTGAGGTTTCTCTCATTTTCAAGTATGTCCTGGGTCCACAACACATTGCATTGTCACAATAGGATACAATATTACAAAATTTTAATATACAAACAATATATATATATATATATATATATATATATGAAACATATACACATACATACATACACACACACATATATAAATTTAAACATACGCACATATATAAATTTAATACATAACATGTAATAAATATATTCAATCATGACAGGTGCATTCTGTGCTGAGGTATATTGCCATAGATATCTTAAAAGATTTTAGATTGAATGAAGATTTGACTGTGTCCCTGAGGTTATTCCATAATTGCGGTGCTCTGTAAGAAAATGAGGATCGAGCCACTTTATTTTTGTATTACGGTATTCTAAATATCATGCTAGTACTGGATCGGAGGTTATAGGAGGTGGGAACAGCTGGGGATTGCATTCTACACAGGTAGGTTGGGAGCTTCCCAGAAATGATTTTATGCACAAGGCTGGAAAGATGAAGGGTGCGTCGGGATTCCAGCGATAGCCAGTTTAGCTGTTTTAATATGTCACAGTGGTGGGTAAAGTAATTACATTCCAGTACCAAGCGGCAGAATGAATTATATAACGTTTTAAGTTTAAGGTGGGTTTGCGGTGTGGGTGCATACACTACATTTCTATAATCAATGACCGGCATTAGCATTTGTTGCACTATCAGTTTCCTTACTGTAGGGCTTAGGCAGGATTTGTTTCTGTACAGAGCACCTAGTTTTGGGTAAAGTTTTGAAAAGATTTTTTCAATGTGAAGGCCAAAGGATAGATAGGGGTCTAGCAACATACCTAGATATTTAAAAGAGCAGACTGCTGTCAGTTTGCTATTTGAATTTGTTCTGATACACATTTGTGATTTTGTAGTTTACGTTATTTAGGTACAGTTCCAAAGATCATTGTAACAGTTTTGTCAGTGTTTAGGAAGAGTTTGTTATCCGCTATCCACTTTTCTGTCTCTGTGAATTGGTTTTGGAGCACAGCCTCAAGCTGCGGTAGATTGGATTTACTAGCGTAGATTACAGTTTCGTCTGCATACATTTATGACATATAATATCCTGAAAATCAAACACAAACAATCTGACATACATTGTATGTCAGTGTGTGATTTCTGGGATATAACATATGGTATGCAGGTGTCAGGGAGTCTCCTGGAACTATCGGGAGACTTGGGATGTCTGATAATCTGTGCATGAGGGCCTGTGTACAAAGTGTGTATGAGGGTCTGTGTATGAAGGCCTGCTATTAGTGCGAGAGCCTGTATATAATGTGATTATGTGAGCCAGTGAGGAAATTGTTGGTGAGTGGGTAAATTAATGTGTCTGCATTGGTATAGGTTGGATGCAGGGGGTCTATGTGAATGTGTGGATTTGTAAGTCAATATGACTAAGTGGTAATGGTGTGTGAACAGGTAGGTGGTGGATAAGATCTGACAGGGTGGTTATTGATAGGCATGTTACTGGGTGGGTGAATGTGACATGGTTGGTTAATATATGTCACTGAGTGGGTGGGGTGAAGGTGAATGTAACTAAATGGAGGCTGGTGGGAAAGACAACAAGGGTATACCTCTAGCTGCATTAGGATGTGACTGGGTACACCTTGAGCTGACGCCAATATTTTCATGATACCTTCACATGACATCTTCTACTCTCTAAATGTAGAAACATGCTATGTCATCATAAAAATGTTGCATTAATAACCTCATCGGACTAATCTTATTGATTTTTTTGATTGGGTAACTAAAATTATAGATCAGGGTGGTGCAGTAGACATTGCTAACCTAGATTTCAGTAAGGCTTTTGACACTGTTGCACATAGACGGCTTATCAATAAACTGCAATCTTTAAGTTTGGATTCCAATATTGTTGAATGGTTAAGGCAGTGGCTGAGTGACAGGAAACAGAGGGTTGTAGTCAATGGAATTTATTCGAAGCCTGGACTTGTCACCAGTGGGGTACCTCAGGGATCTGTACTTGGACCCATTCTCTTTAATATTTTTATTAGTGATATTGCAGAATGTCTTGATGATAAGGTATGTCTTTTTGCTGATGATACTAAGATATGTAACATAGTTGATGTTCCAGGAGGGATAAGCCAAATGGCAAATGATTTAGGTAAACTAGAAAAATGGTCAGAATTGTGGCAACTGACATTTAATGTGGATAAGTGCAAGATAATGCATCTTGGACGTAAAAACCCAAGGGCAGAGTACAGAATATTTGATAGAGTCCTAACCTCAACATATGAGGAAAGGGATTTAGGGGTGATTATTTCTGATGACTTAAAGGTAGGCAGACAATGTAATAGAGCAGCAGGAAATGCTAGCAGAATGCTTGGTTGTATAGGGAGAGGTATTAGCAGTAGAAAGAGGGAAGTGCTCATGCCATTGTACAGAACACTGGTGAGACCTCACTTGGAGTATTGTACACAGTACTGGAGACCGTATCTTCAGAAGGATATTGATACCTTAGAGAGGGTTCAGAGAAGGGCTACTAAACTGGTTCATGGATTGCGGGATAAAACTTACCAGGAAAGGTTAAAGGATCTTAACATGTATAGCTTGGAGGAAAGACGAGACAGGGGGGATATGATAGAAACATTTAAATACATAAAGGGAATCAACACAGTAAAGGAGGAGACTATATTTAAAAGAAGAAAAACTACCACAACAAGAGGACATAGTCTTAAATTAGAGGGACAAAGGTTTAAAAATAATATCAGGAAGTATTACTTTACTGAGAGGGTAGTGGATGCATGGAATAGCCTTCCAGCTGAAGTGGTAGAGGTTAACACAGTAAAGGAGTTTAAGCATGCGTGGGATAGGCATAAGGCTATCCTAACTATAAGATAAGACCAGGGACTAATGAAAGTATTTAGAAAATTGGGCAGACTAGATGGGCTGAATGGTTCTCATCTGCCGTCACATTCTATGTTTCTATGTATGGTTAATCAACAAAAACCTGTGCTAACATTGTTAAACATTATTTAGAAATATTTTTAGTTGTTAATACTGATCTCTGCATTAAACCATTTGCTACTCTATTGTACATAATTTGTAGATTTCATGATAAGAAGCCTATGGTCCCTGCTAGAAGATTTGAGACACTAGTGGTACAGAACAATGATTTATATCAGGGGTGCCCAAAAGGTAGATCCCCAGATGTACAACTATAACTCCCATGATGCTTTGTATACCTTTAAAATGACAAAGCACCATGGAAGCTTAAGTTTTAAAACATCTGGGGATCTACCTTTTGGACACCCCTGTTTAGAGAAGTCTCTATAAGTGGTAAAATATTAAGGTAAAATTAGGATATATTGGCAATTTGTGAAGAAAGGATATGCTTGCAAACAGTATACAACAGCCAATAATGAGAATTATGAACAAACCAATGCAATCAGTCAGTATTCTTTTACTTGAATTCATGGTTGTTAAAGTGAAAGACTCACATTTGATGACGATGACTCTTCAGTAATCATGAAACAAATTTTATCATGTAAATGATAGTAGTTAACTATACTACCAAAATCATTTTTTTTATTTCTTTGTAAGCATTACTTTAAGTAACCTAATTATGTATATTCTTTAGTTATTTATTTACATATTTAATAATAATAAAATAATAATATTTTTTTATTTTTTCTAGGTTTGCAGAATTCCTTTTTTCAGACAAATTCCGTGTTGGATCCTGTACTGTTGAAAACATTTACAGTCTCTATGAAGGCCTTGCAGGGACAGTATGTTTTTTGGTTGATTTGCTGCAACCTAACCAGGCAGAGTTTCCTCTTTTTAGTGTCTTTGTCTAAAGCCATTGTGTGCTATGAGGGGGATTTTGCTACGAACAAACATGCCTTGTAACATTTAATCCTAAACAATCCAAGAGATGTGCAAATTTTTCACGTAGAAAACAAATGGCTGCTTTTAAATATAAAAAGATAGATCAATTAGATCACAAGTAAATTAATGCAGGGAGACTATTTTTTAATCTTTTGTGGTACAAAAAAAAAAACCAATGTACATATTGGGAACATTGCAAATGGGTAGATCCACAGATGAAAAAGGAGCAATTAAACTCCAGGAGATTCACAGTTTGTGAAATTGGAAATTATACCTTGCCATTTGTGCAGAAATGCCACTTAGAAGTTTTAACAAACCTTCCATGCAGAATGTCAAGTAAACAAAGTATATGCCATTGGTTTGGAAGCTACTGTGAATTTTACTAAGGCTTATCGATTTTTATTCTTATACCAGTCTTATCATAACCTAACACACAGAATTACAATTTTTTTAGATACAAAACCAAAATTGTGATACATGAACTTAGTATTTTTTATCTAAGCTTTGTTTCTTAACCCCTTAGTGACCAGACCATTTTTTTATTTTCTTACCAGTAAGGACCGGGGCTCTTTTTAAATTTCGGCGGTGATTTTCCTCTTACTCAATTACTGTACCCACACATATTACCGTATATACTCGAGTATAAGTCGACCCAAATATAAGTCGAGACCCCTAATTTTACCCCCAAATACTGGGAAAACTTATTGACTCGAGTTTAAGACTAGGGTGGGAAATGCAGCAGCTACTGGTAAATTTCTAAATAAAATTAGATCCCCCAAAAATTATATTAATTGAATATTTATTTACAGTGTGTGTATATAATGAATTCAGTGTGTGTGTGTGTGTGTGTGTATGTGTATGAATGCAGTGTGTGTGTATGAGTGCAGTGTGTGTGTATGAGTTCAATGTGTGTATGTATGAATGCAGTGTGTGTGTATGAATGCAGTGTGTGTGTATGAGTGTAGTGTGTGTGTGTATGAATGCAGTGTGTGTATGTGTATGAATGCAGTGTGTGTGTGTATGAATGCAGTGTGTGTGTGTATGGTGCAGTGTGTGTGTGTATGAGTGCAGTGTGTGTGTATGAATGCAGTGTGTGTGTGTATGAGTGCAGTGTGTGTGTATGAGTGCAGTGTGTGTGTATGAATGCAGTGTGTGTGTATGAATGCAGTGTGTGTGTGTATGAATGCAGTGTGTGTGTATGAATGCAGTGTGTGTGTGTGATGAATGGAGTGTGTGTGTGTGTATGAATGCAGTGTGTGTGTATGTGATGCAGAGTGTGTTTGTGTATGTATGTATGTATATATATATATATTTTTAATATTATTTATATTTTTTATTTTAATATTATTTAAATCTTTATTTATTTTCGTCCCCCCTCCCTGCTTGTTAGCCGGCCAGGGAGGGGGGCTATATTATTCCCTGGCGGTCCAGTGGTGTGTACTGTGTAGGAGGGGGGCTGGCAGAGAGCTGTAACTTACATTTCCTGCAGCTCCTGTCAGCTCCCTTCTCTCTCCTCCGTGCAGCACCCCTGTCGGCTCACACTGTAAGTCTCGCGGTCTGAGTGCCGCGCGGAGCGTTGCCATGGTAACCCGTGGCAAAGCTCTGACCCCACGGCTCTTGCAAGACTTACAGTGTGAGCTGACAGGGGAGCTGCACTGAGGTGAAGGGAGCTGACAGGAGCTGCAGGAAAGGTAAGTTACAAATCGCTGCCAGCCCCAACAGGACTGCCGGGCTTATAATGAGCCCGGCGGTCCTGGTCTGTATTATGGCAATGTAAGTAATGCCATAATACAGACATTGACTCGAGTATAAGACGAGTGGGGCGTTTTCAGCACAAAAAGTGTGCCGAAAAACTCGTCTTATACTCGAGTATATACGGTATATACTGTTTTTCTCGCCATTAAATTATCTTTCTAAAGATACCATTATTTTTATCATATCATGTAATTTACTATAAAACAAAATTATAAAATCTGATGAAAACATTTTAAAAATCACACTTTTTCATGCTAAATTGTTTCTACATTTTGTCCTGAGTTTAGAAATACCCAATGTTAACATTTTCTTAGCTTTTTTGGAAAGTTATAGTGCAATAAGTACAAGTAGCACTTTGCTATTAACAAACCATTTTTTTTTTCAAAATTGTAACACTGATATCTGTCAGGAATCCCTGAATAACCCTTCACATGTATATATTTTTTAAAAGAAGACAACCTAAGCTCTTAAATTTGTGGTATTTTGACTCTTTTCATGCAACCATCTTACCACCAATCTATGCCAAATTGAAAAAAATAAAGTTTTTTTGACACACAAAGCAAAGAACACCCCAATATGTGTTCAGCAGCATCTTCTTAGTACAGTGATACCCCCCATGTATAGGTGTGACGGGTTCTCTGGGGGCTAAAAGACCTTATTTAGAGGATGCACATTCCAGTTTTCCAACTTCACAGCTGGTCATCATGCACCCATATCCTATTAGTCACAAACGCTGGCCAAAGTTAGCATTTTTATTTCTTTTTTGCATTTTTTTCACAAAAACTGCACTTTTACTGGTGATTTCATTGTCGTGATAAGTTTTACTGTTTTAAACACTCATATTTGTGTTCAGCGAAGTCTCCCGAGTATAAGAATACCCCCAATGTACAGGTTTTATGGTGTTTTGGAAAGTTACAGGGTCAATATAGGGCTTGCCCAATTTAGTTTGCCAGATTTGCTGGGTCTGTGTTGTCTTTTGAGACCATATGGTAGCCCAGAGTTCTGCAACCTTTTAACACTCTCGGCCTGGCGAAAAGAGGAGAAATAAAAAACAATGGTATGTGTGAGGGATGCAGTGTGTGTGTGAGGGGTGCAGTGTGTGTGAGGTGTACAGTGTGTGTGTATTGGGGGCCATGTGCATGTATGGGGGGCAGAATGTGTGTAGGGGGCAGTGCAGTGTGTGTGTATGGGGGCAGTGTGTGTGTATGGGAGCAGTGTGTGTGTGGGGGGGCAGTGTGTGTGTGGGAGGGCAGTGTGTGTATGGGGAAAAATTGTTGTGGGTCTGTGGGGCTGGAGGGTAGATTAATAAATATAAATAGTTTTTTAATTGCTTACCTTTGCCTGGGAGGGGGGACAGTACAAGGCAATGCCTGGTGGTCCAAGTGGTGAGATTGAACTCTAGCAGCTCAGGCTAGAGTTCACTCTCGCGAGATTAGGAGCATTGCCATGGTAACTGCGGCAATGCTCCGAGCCCGCAAGATGAGAACTCAGCGGAGCTGCGGGTTAGAGCTCGGGTCCTCTCTCCCTCCCTCCCCTGCTGGCTATCAGCATTACAGTGCTAGCGGGCCAGTGAGGGCTAGCGAGCCGCTGATTTCCCCTCCGGTCCTGCCAGGAGAGGGAGCACTGTTCCCGGTGCTATGATCATAGTACCGGGTAAATATTTTGCGGCACTGTAGCGGTATAGTTGGGTGAAAGCTTTCACGGACCGGCAATAAATTCTTGCAGACATGCATCGGTCCACGGACCACCAGTTGAAGACCACTGATCTAGTCAATATTGGCAGATGGGGCAGCACCCCCCTTCCAGTTTAAGCTACCATAAAAAGTTATACCTTGTGGCATGGAAAAAACTATTGATACGTTTACAAAAGAAACATTACTTTGTATAACTGTTGTTTTTTATTCAGTTGTTCCCCCTACCGTTAATTCATGGCTAGAGATGCTGTTCAGAGAGTTATGCTAAACTTTTGAGGCAGTTATTTTTAACATGCCAGATATGATCATTCTTCTCTAACATGATTGCTGACATAATCCAAGTGGCAGAGCTCCCTGTACCCCTGTTGGGTACCTCAGCTAACGACCGCTTTCTAGCTGGAACAGGGGAAAACCTCAGCGGTTCTACCCCAGTCGCCGTGGCTTGACTGGGGTCCTCCTGGAGCCTCTCCATCCTGGAACATGATAGGAGACTAGCTCTATTCCCTCCCAGGGACTGGACGACACACAGTCCTGGGAGCTCTAGTCCTTTCCCTGCCGAATCCTCCACGAGCTGGATCAAGGTGCTTAACAGTGATTATAGCATTCCCCCCCCCAGTAACTAGACGACACATAGTTCTGGGAGTACAACTGATTTTAATGGGTCAAACTCGGCCTTTTATGCACAGACCCCAGCAGGGGGTCCTCGGTCTCCATTGTATTCAGCACAAGCCCCTACCAGGAATCTCTGGGACTGGGAGATAATTTCGTTTCAGACCAGTAAGTTAATTATCTCCCAGGAACAGACAGCCAAACACAAAAATATAAAAAAACATAAAAGTACCCCAAAACATAATAAAAACATTAAATAACCACACAAATAATACATCCACAAACAGCCCTGATCTGAGCGCCCAAGTTTTCCAAATAGCGCTCAGATCCATGCAGTGAAGGGCAAATGCCACCATGTTAAAGTTCTGACCGGCCGCACACATGGTCCTATGCCCAAAATAGTTCCAGGGCGTTTGGTGCTTTTGCTGGTCAACTTTCGGGAGCTCCTGCGGCCACAATATGGGGTGCTCTGCCTGGCTCTTAAGGTAGCATTTGTTCCTCTAAGCCTTAGGCACCTTCCCTCCAAAAAGCGACCTCCTGGTGAATTTTGGTTTAAAACCGTTAACCAAGTTGTCCAGGAACCACACGGTCACCTCATACCGAAATTAGTTCCATAGCGGTTGCGCCTAAGTACTGCTGAGGACTATTCGTGGGGTTGGTACATGCGAACGGCCACCAGGGGCACCCAAGGCAAGCTGCTAATGGTGGCTGGGCAGGGTAGCTCCCAAACATTGTCCATGCTCTGGACCATAGTCAGTGGGCAGGAGGCCGGCTTCCACACTCCTCCAGGAGTCTGTGGCATACGCACATGGGAAGGACCGTTTGTCACAATCCAGTAGCTTTCCATCGGGCCGCTAGATCTTGAACATAGTGTTGGATCTCATCAGAGCATCAGAGGGTGGAGTCAGACCTCTTTAAAGTGGCTGTTGTTTCCCAAATATATGTATCTATAGGTTGATGGTGCTAAACAGCGCATGACATCTCACTGGGTTCCGAGGTGGTCAGGAATTGAGTAAATGGAGCAAAGTGGACAGAGCCCAACAAGTCAGGGGTAGAGTTAAATACCAGGAGCAGAGTCTAGTGTCCTACCATCTTTATATTTAACCAGCCGCCACCACTGCTATTTGTCTATCTGCCCTTTGTCAGTCAGTCTGTCTATCTTTTTACTCATATACTTTTGATCCTAAAACAGTGTGTCAGGAATTCAACCCCTTAAGGATTAGCTTCAAAGAAGAAAGTGAGCATGATGAAAAATTTCAGACATGTGCCGTTAAAATTAATTCAAAGGGAATTTAACATTTTAGACCAAAACAACCAAACTGGATGTATAACTGAATTGGAGAATTTTTTCTAGTTCAGCTATTTTTGCTTTAAAGCAGCACTGTAATTTTTTCCCCATGTGTAGTGCTGCATTGTATCCCCCTCAACGCCCCAAATATATATATATATATATATATATATATTTATTTTTTTATGTAAAATACGTTTTCTTTTCACAGTTATACATAAAAAAGTAGGGACTACTTTTCCTTATGTTGAAACCACAGGTTGATAAAAGTTGACACAGAGTGGAGCTGTCTTACTCACAACCTGACTGGTGGACTGGTGGACTGGGCATGCGTGTGATATGATGAGCATGCCCTTTGAAGGGTCGAGTAGAAAATATCTGGTGAATGCCATGGGGGAATTTGTAAAAGCAAGAGTATTGGGTAGCTTGGTGGGGGTTAGGAGACCATGAGAGAGGCTGGGGTCAGCATGGAAAAATAGTGACAGAGACGCTTTAATGTGGAACTGTCTCCCCTCCCCGCTGAAAAATTTGTATTTCATAAAGATAGACTCTTTATGAAATAGTTATACTGACTTTGTTGGAAATTCATTGAAATTCTAACCTAGTCAAGAGCTATACTGAGACAAAGTAGGAACAACTTTTTCTCTGTATATTTCCTAGGCCTGGCACCTCCAGACATGTGGCGGAGCTACTGCCATCTGCCATCCTCCTGCAGGAAATTGGCATTATCTATGGAGTATCCCATGAGACCTCCCTAGACCTCAATGCTGTACTCTTGCACATGCAGGAGAGTTCAGCAGTGGCATCGGCTCCTAAAGCTTTAGTGCCAGCAGCTAAAGATGATCTGCCAGGATAAGATGATGGTGCTTGCAAGGGACAGGTTCAGAGGGCACCTTTGCCTACCCACCAGGCCACCTGGCCCCCAACAGCAATGTCACCATTGTGGTCTTTGCAAATTCTGCAAAGTCCCCAGTTGGTGATAGTGCTGCTTTAAGTTTTAAATTCACTTTAAATTCCTGACAATCCTCACTTTAGTAAATAACTCTGTTTTTATTTATTTTTAGTGAATTTAATTTTCATCTTCCAAACAGCTGTTTATAAAAATCCTCCTGAAAACTCTTTAGTTTCCAATCTGCTTACAAGTGATATTAATCATCATAATTTCACCTGCCAATGATTTACATAATTTATACCATATCAAGTGACTATGCTTGAGTGGGATTTCCCAAACCATGTATACAGGAAATATTACAGTTATTAGAGATAACACTCCCCTTACTTTTTTTTTTTTTTAAGTATCATACTTTCCCCTGGAGGTCTGCTTATGGGCCATACCAAAGAATAGCAACTGGTATGCTTTAAGGTCAGGAAACAGCTGTTAGCTTGGAACAACTCTGACATTTAATTGATTTAGGAACCTGGCCATGTGGGAAATTGCAATAAGATATTGACGATTCATAGCAAGTTCTAAGTTTTTTGTTAAATCTGAAGAAACACAGATTTAGTGAATAAACCTCTAAAATGTGGTTGCTTAAACATCTTTTGTCATAATAGTGATTCAGTAACTGAATAATGGAATTTACATCACTTTACTTCACTTTCTTAGAGTTTCAAATAGATTCTTATGTGTTGTAAATTTCCTTTTCAAATGGTAAAGGAACACTATAGCTTTAGGAATACAAATGTGTATTCCTAACGCTATAGTACCCTAGTCATCACCCTATTTGTGACTAGGTCCCCGGTTAAAAAAGTTGTTTTAGTTACCTTTTCTTGCAGCTGTGGTCTTCAGCATTCCACTCTGCCTTTTTGGAGATCAACGAGAATGGAGGTTAGTGCGCATGCACTGCAAAATGCCATGATGTGCCAATCACATGGTCTCTCTGAGGCCATCTGATGTAAATAGTGGACCTGGCAGCCACTACAGGTTAACCATGCAATGAAAACATCCAGTGTTAAAGCATCTTGTGTACCAGCATACAAAATTGATCACTTGTTGTATTTGTTATTTTCTCAGTTTCTTTTACTAATCCCCTTTTTACCACTGGAGAGGTATTTACGCGTGCAATTAATATGTGGGTAGAACAAATGCATGTGGGTAGAACAAATGTCAAGTAACATAAAACACAAACAGGTGCAAAAATTATTTTAGAAGGTCCACTAGTACCTCCAGATTTGATTTAAAAAAAAAGAATAGACATTTCACACTTTAGGCCCATTTCAGTACAGTAAAAACTGTAACAGTTACACCTTAAATGTGTGACTACTTGAAAACCAACACTTCCCTTGCACACCCTTCTTCATACCAACAATGTGTGCTGTAATAGACTGAAAGCAACCAGCTGACACTCAATATTTAGGAAGGACAGTATGTATTTTGTGCCCAAATCCCTCGGTCCCTCTTTTCTATCCTAGCACCCCTATTTTCTTGGAGATCGATTTTGTTGGCATATCTAAGTGTGTAACAGCTCCACAGCAATAATACGCTCAGTAATGTGTCTTTAAACTGTAATAAATTATTTTAGAAGTCAGTCTCTGTAAAAGACGTATATTGTTTTAGTTCTAAATTACATTTAAGTTGCATAAATTATTAGTAAGTCACTTAAAATATTTCAGAACAACCCACGTACCCACACATTAAAATAAAAGCGACCCTATTTGTCAATTTGAAATATTCAGAGGCAGTCACAGAATGGCACCAGGGGACTCCAGACTTTATAACCACTCCAATGAGATAAAGCAAATACAGTGCCTGCAGTGTCCCAAACGAGCTAACAATTTGAATTGAATGACGAAATAGCTAAACAGTTGTTATTCAATAAAATAAGAATTCAAGGTGAATTAAAAATAAATTTCACATTTAAGGTAAAAACAGCTAAATTGAAAAAAATATCGTAATCAGCTATGCTACCAGTTCTGCCACTTGGACCTAAAATTTGAAATTCACATTTGATTTCTCACTTTAGTTAAAGGGACACTGTAGGCACCCAGACCATTTCAGCTCATTGAAGTGGTTTGCGAGAAATGTCCCATGTCCCTTAACCCTACAGTGGTAATTATTGCAGTTTCTAAGAAACTTCAATAATTACCTGCTAGGGTTAACTCCTCCTGTAGTGGCTGTCTACCAGACAGCAACTAGAGGGACTTCTGGCTGTTTAGACAACTCTTGGTTGCCTGGACGCCCTCACGCTATGCATGAGGACTTCCAGCTTCACCAGAATCCCCATAGTACAGCATTGATTAATGCTTTCCTATGGGGAAATCCTAATGCGAGCACGGCCATTGCCCCACATGCGCTTTAGGTCTCCCCCTCCGGCTGATGTTGGTGGGGGAGGAGCGTGGGCCGAGCCTGACCCAGCGCCGAGGGACATCGGCGCTGGATTCAAGTAACTGACTGAAGGGGTTTTAACTCCTCAGCGCCGTGGGAGGGGACACACAAGGGGGTGATGGATGGGGGGGGAATCATCTCCGTAAATGTGGAATCATCAGTTATAATTTACATAAAGTCATATTCTCATCTCTACAAGAGGAATGCTTAATAAGGCAAAAAGATTATGAATGGTCCATATAAATTGTTTCAAAACAATTTTGAGGGGCGGGGCCGGGCCGCCGAGCCGACTGGACGCCATATGCATGGGCTCCAGCTCTAGGCTCGTGAAAAGGGCTCAAAAAGCCGACATAGACCGCTGCAATGCCGGAACCGTCGCTACCGCTGCATGGACAGGGTTACCAGCTTCAGCCTGATACCCCGCAGGAGGTACACCACGCACCGGGTGAGTAGAATCGTCCACCTTCGGCCCGCAAGCCACCACAAGCCTGACCTCATGCACCCGTGGTGTGCAGCCTTCAGTGCTTGGCAGCCAGACACCGCGGAGAGGCACTCTGCGGGAACAGGAAAAGCCGAATGAACAAAGCCTCTGGTCGTGGGGTGATATCCCGGCTGGGGGCACGGCCCCACTCCCCCCCCAGGCCGGTGGGGGTTATCCCGGCATCATGGCGGCGGCTCGCACAGCGGCGGGAGATCCCACGCTCGGCCTATGCTGCCCACCTACACTAGCAACGGCTGCAAGAAAAAACAGCCATCTAGCAAATATGGACGCTGCCAGGAACGCACCCGAATAAAGAATAAAGGGACGCAAGCAACCATTTGATGGGGCACTACAGCCCACACAAAGCCCCAATTTGGAAAGCTGCCGATGAGGATCCTACTTAAAATGCTACTGCTATTAATATCCCCCCGGAAACCGGGTGAGAGGCTTGAGCACCAACAAAGGCAAATACCGTGTTGGCATACTGCGGACTCCTTGCAGAGGCGGACCCACAGATTCCCGCCCTCGGGTGACCGGTGTGCGGGTAGGGAACTGGCCGGACCCTTTGAACTTGGTGGTGATTCAGAGGACTTTGCCCCGACTCAGTGAGCCCTGTGGTGCCGGTAGACGTGGACCCTCCGGTGAACCGGTGGCCGGGGAGCGTGCACTGGTACCAAGTATGAGACCGGAGCCAGGCGAGGCATGGACTGGCTGGGACCCGGGGGTGGATCCGGGGGAGTCGGGGAGGTGCAGGGGACGGGCCGCAGGTGGATTTTACATGGGGGGGATCTGCTAGACTGCCCACGCAACCGAGTGCCCACGGTGCCACGGATCTACCCACTGACAGACTGGAGTTTGCCCAGGGTGGAGGCAAAAGAGGGCCCCCAGTCACAGAGGTGCCCATGGGTCCCAGATGTGGATGGCCCAACCTAACTCGACAACATCTAGGACTCATTTAGCCGGAAGCATAGACATTCAGAACAGCCCTGCTCCTGTATTGTTTCAGTCCTTATCAGTAATTTTTAGTGTATAAGCATATGTTACCCCGCATGTCAGAGTTTTAATAGACTAGGCGATACTAACGCACTTAACATAAATAGTTTGTATACATATTCCTTCTAGTTGAAACTGTGCAGGGTAGTACAGATTGATGAGAATCTGACCTAGCAGCAAAGGCATGATGATATGTTTTTAATTGCTACCATAAGTTTTTCATGTTTTAATACTGCCTATTTACCTGCCTAATTACTGCATTGTATGTTACTAGGCCTAAGCAACCACACAAACCAACCAACACAAAGCTCTTGCACAAACCAGCTAACACAAAGCACACGCACAACTGACTAACACAAACCAGCTAACACAAAGCACCTGCACAAACCAGCTAACACAAAACACTTGCACAAACCAGCTAACACAGGCTACATATTAGCCATTGTAACCAACTAACTGGCAAACCAAATGCAAATGAGACACATGACACAACCTATATTGAAATTGTCCTTAGGACGTTGCAAGTGGCTTCTGCGAGCATAGGATATTGGCGCCCTACAGCATCCAGAGGCTATCTGGTACGCTGCTGTAATTTGTTATATATCTTCTGACCTATATTAAGCTTACAATAGAAAGGCAAAGCTTACTTAATTACACATAAGGTGAAATATACTGAAAGCTTCACCGCATGCTTAGTTAAACACAACTCAACCACGTAGTAAAATATGAGGCCTCATTTTGAACTTAGCCACTGCAGAAAAAAATATATGAAAAGTGTACTACATTACAGTGCTATAACATGCTATGATAAACTTGTACACATATCTATCCATGTTTTTCCAAAACGAATGCATTGTTTACGCTTTATCCCCTGCGTGGGAAAACTACTTATTGTGTTGACCTCAATAAAAACAGATTTAATACAAAACAATCTTGAACAGAATAAGTTATCCTCATATTTGGCCCTGAGAAAGCTTCCCATGTACAGATACTGATCCAACAGGACAGGTCCAATACTATATAAAAGCAATACCATATTGCCATACCATAGCTAACTTTCTTCCCTGGGTCAAAGATAAGTAGCTGCGTAAGAAAGACTGTCCAGCAGCACAAAACTGTAGAACAAGAAATATAAACAGATAATAAATAGGTGAGAGCACACAAGAAATTAATAAAATACTACCTACTCAGTAGTCAATTAATCTGGAAAACATCCAAAAAGACACACATAGAGTAGTATAGTCAAATAAAATATATTTGCATGAGATACAAGTTGCACTCACATGAATAGAGTCACTTAAAAGCTGACTCAAACTAGATGCCTTGAAAATACAGACTGGGACCTCCACTGGGAACTTTCTTCCTTTTTTTAGATGTAAGACCTCCAGGACGCAGAACTGGTGGTAAAGAAAACTTTTATTCTTAAAATAAAATTAAAACCATACATCTAAGGGTGAAAATAAGAGTCCAAACACTTTACGCGTTTCGGCTATTGCCTTCATCCGAAGTGATATCCAATTCAAGGCATCTAAGTTTAAATAGTTGAAATTGGCGCCCATTCCATCCCGTTCTGGTCGCGGCTTCCTACTTCCGGGTTCGCCGTCGGAACGTCTGCGTCATTACGTTCCGACGCTACGACCTCATTTCCGGTTCCGGTCACATGTTTTGTAGTCCGGACCACCAAGCAGCATCTTAAGCTTAGTTTCTAATTCCGGTCACGTGTTTTGTAGTCCGGATATACCCACGCAAAGAGGGAACGGCATCATATAATGTCCAATTTTCCTCATACAACAGCAATTAAAGTCCATTCAATATAATTGCTTATAAAACATATATACATAAACAGTAAAAATATTTCTTCACATAGAATTATGAAATTAAAATAAGAACTGAATAAAAACAGGTTAAATACAATTATAATGCCTAAGACAGGTTATGAATATTAAAAAGAGGTAGATAAAAAGGATATATAAAAAAGGATACTTCTTTTTCCATATCATTTTAATGATTAAAAAAATAAAAACTATAGAGAAGAAAGGATGATTAAAAAAATAAAAAATATAGAGAAAAATTTAATATATGTGTTAATTTGCCCTTGTGGATTGCAATATGTAGGAAAGACATCCCGCCTCCTAAAAACGAGAATTAGAGAACACATATATAATATACAGAGAAAATTTATTAATCATAATGTGTCAAAACATTTTTTAAAGTTTCATGGCGGAGACCCAAGTGGAATAGAATTTATAGGGATAGATATAACCCAAGTACATTGGAGAGGAGGTGATAATGATTATATTTTAAGCCTGAGAGAAATGAAATGGATTTTTGAGTTAGACACAATGGTGCCAAAAGGGTTAAATGTGGATTTTGAAATTAATCAATTTATCCATTAAAATGATATGGAAAAAGAAGTATCCTTTTTTATATATCCTTTTTATCTACCTCTTTTTAATATTCATAACCTGTCTTAGGCATTATAATTGTATTTAACCTGTTTTTATTCAGTTCTTATTTTAATTTCATAATTCTATGTGAAGAAATATTTTTACTGTTTATTTATATATGTTTTATAAGCAATTATATTGAATGGACTTTAATTGCTGTTGTATGAGGAAAATTGGACATTATATGATGCCGTTCCCTCTTTGCGTGGGTATATCCGGACTACAAAACACGTGACCGGAATTAGAAACTAAGCTTAAGATGCTGCTTGGTGGTCCGGACTACAAAACATGTGACCGGAACCGGAAATGAGGTCGTAGCGTCGGAACGTAATGACGCAGACGTTCCGACGGCGAACCCGGAAGTAGGAAGCCGCGACCAGAACGGGATGGAATGGGCGCCAATTTCAACTATTTAAACTTAGATGCCTTGAATTGGATATCACTTCGGATGAAGGCAATAGCCGAAACGCGTAAAGTGTTTGGACTCTCTTTTGGGACTTTTTTATTTTCACCCTTAGATGTATGGTTTTAATTTTATTTTAAGAATAAAAGTTTTCTTTACCACCAGTTCTGCGTCCTGGAGGTCTTACATCTATAAAAAGGAAGAAAGTTCCCAGTGGAGGTCCCAGTCTGTATTTTCAAGGCATCTAGTTTGAGTCAGCTTTTAAGTGACTCTATTCATGTGAGTGCAACTTGTATCTCATGCAAATATATTTTATTTGACTATACTACTCTATGTGTGTCTTTTTGGATGTTTTCCAGATTAATTGACTACTGAGTAGGTAGTATTTTATTAATTTCTTGTGTGCTCTCACCTATTTATTATCTGTTTATATTTCACTATTGTGTGGTTTGTGTGGCCCACATAGGTGATAGTAGCACTCGTCACTTTTAGGGTTTTTATTCACTTTAATTGTTATTATTGTAGAACAAGAAATGCATACTATATACAAAATAGTAAATATATATACAATCTGAAACAACAAATCTCATGAGGGAAAATACATCAAACTTACATTGCAGTGCAGGTTCCCCCAAGACCACTCAAAACCACAGAAAACCTGAAACATGGATGTTATGAGTAATGTGACAAAAAAGGATTGCTCAAACTTCTCATGGAGACTATGATGGAGTAATGCGACCAATGTGTACATCCACAGCCAACATTCCATTTGTAACTCCAAGCCTTTTAAATTTTTGCACCTCTTTTTAGACCAGAACACTAGTAATAAAATATTCCTGATTACTTTAGATAAAAGAGCTGTAAAAAAATAATACAGAAGGAAACTTTAGAGTTACATTTTCAAAGATAATTTTGTCATGATTAAAGGGACACTATAGTCACCCAGACCACATCAGCTCATTGAAGTGGTCTGGGTGAAATGTCCCTCAGGTTTTAACCTTTCAGATGTAAACATAACAGTTTCAGAGAAACTGCTATGTTTACATTTGGGGTTAATCCAGCCTCTAGTGGCTGTCTTCCGGACAGCCACCAGAGGCACATCTGCGACGCTGGAGGCGAATTTCGCCTCCATTGCATAGAGCGTCCATAGGAAAGCATTGAGAAATGCTTTTCCATGAACACTTTGAATGCACGTGTGGCACTTGCCGCGCATGTGCATTAGTCTCCAGTGACGTCGGACGGGGGAGCTGACGTCAGACGAGGAGGAGAGGTCACCAGCACCGAGGGAGCCTGGTGCTGGATTAAGGTAAGTGGCTGAAAGGGTTTTAACTCCTTCAGCGCCACGGGAGGGGGACCCTGATGGTGGGGGCACCCTCAGGGCACTAGAGTGTCAGGGAAACTGCTTTGTTTTCCTGACACTATAGTGATCCTTTATGTATTATTAATCTGCAAATGCTAAAATTACTGCATTGTCTGCTACATCATTGTCTAAATGTCTTTGAAATGACTTTGACAGACGTCATGCTTTTATTGAAATTTCTAGTGGTTATGAAATGCATAATTCATTAAAATAACCATAAAAGCACTCTTCACATTGATTGACTTTAGACCATTTTCAGGTTGTCTCCATACATTAAAACCTACAGCTGCTTGTTTGCAGGAAACATATTTCTGTGTACACAGTCCTCCTCAATTTAAATTTTTGCAATACTCCAATGCCTACCTCTCATACTTACCTGTGAAATCAAAAGGAGTATGTGGCGGCCACCCCGATAAGAAGAGGGGTTCCGCTGCCACAGTTTTTTCCCCTTAGTTGGAGGGATGTAGTAATGCAGAGCAGGAACAGCTCTTACAAGAGCTAGTGATTTAGCACGCCAAGCAGAAGGGAGACAGCTGTTAAAGCTTTCTCCCACAAACATGAGACTATACTCTATGCTGTGGGACAACTGGTTTTAATGGGGCCACACATGGCCTTTTATGTCAATCCCCATGCAAGGGACACTCCCCTCTGGACCTGAGAGTAGACTACAGTAAAAACAAACACACAATTACATTGGCTCCCAGGTCCAGGACACTCCCATTCAAAATAAGAGAATCCCTCTGGGAGATAATTGAATCAGGAATTGTATTAACTCAATTATCTCCAGGCACAGAAAACACACATTTTAACCATATCCCGAAAGTACCCCCAAAACCCATGCAAAGCCCACAAACGTTACACCCCCGATCTGGGTGACCAACATATCCAAAAGTCACCCAGGTCAGTTAAGGGGTTTCGAGATTTCCATGGAAGTCTTATTTTGGTCTATTTCGGGAATACTCAATATAGTCAAAATACTGAACGTAGCAGTTCGTGGGTAGGTTCAGTCTATGTCTCTTTTTTGGGAGCTTGCTCCCACTGAACGCCTTAGCCGAACGGCGATGGAAGGGACATTCTAGCGGTGTTTGCGCCGTCGAGTGTCCGATTTGGGTTCCATGCATTCGACGACCAAACACCGCTCAGTGTGTTTGCGGCTAAAGATGGCCGCCGCATACTGAACGGCGACCACCCAGCCGACCAGTTAGAACACTTGCGGTTTTAGAAGTGTTAATGAAGTGACAGAGGTCAATGAGTGGCCTAATCACCAAGAAACAAATACAAACTTTAGGCTTTACAGGTGTTACCACCTTCTAAGCCTTCAGTTTTTAAGAGGGCAGCGCTATATTTACAGTTTAATGAATAAAAAATGGGTACAAAATGGGGAAAATTTTTATACATTTTTCCCATTTTTTACCCATTTTTTATTCATTCAACTGTATCCTGCACAAGTGATTCCAGGGAAGGGGCAGTGTCACCCCATAAACTGACACTAGGTTTACATACTTAGAGCCAGTTATTAAAAGGCTCTAAATAAGACATTGTGGAGAGGAACATACGCACTTTTTCTTGGAGAGAGGGGTCGTGTGATCTACTCTAAATAACACAGACGTTTGGAAGTTTAGAGCCTAAAAACTAGAAAAGGCTCAAAAAAATGTGAGTTTATATACATGTGCAACTCACTAAACTTCTTGCCACATTACCTAATATACTGCACAATTATTTGTATATATTTTTTCTCTGTCTTTTCTATATGTATATTATATCAAAGAGATACATAGAGGGTAAGTGTTTTTGAATACTTTGGAAAATTCACTTACCTCACATTAAATATAGCGCTGCCCTCTTAAAAACTGAAGGCTTAGAAGGTGGTAACACCTGTAAAGCCTAAAGTTTTTATTTGTTTCTTGATGATTATCTATGTGTGTATACAGCAGCTAAAATCCACTTTACAACTTACACGTTTAAACTATATAAGGCCACCTATTCCACAACTTTTGTGTATATATCCATTAATGAGTGGCCTACTCCACATACAGGTGGTCTAGTTGTTCGGTAGATTGTTCGGTAGGGGAATGAAATTAAAAATAAAACGAAGGAGAATGCAATGTCCCGAAACCATAGAGGAATGAAACAAAGGAATCCAGGGACAGGGTGATCCGTCACAGGGAAGTAAAGCAGGTAAACTGTTAGCAGCATAATTGAATACGTGGCAGACACAATCTAAAATAACCTATGCCTGCCTCATTACTGAAACAATTTCAACAGCATTTTAATGCTTTTATATGGAAATGTAAACCAACCTGGCTGCTCTTTGATACTTTGAGGTCTCTACTTTGGTTGGGAGGGTTGGAAGTGACTGATAAAGCAATATATTATAAGGCTACAGTCAGAGGCGTAACTAGAAACCACAGGGCACCAGTGCAAAAATTGCCCTGAGGCCCCCCATACATCTATCCCCCACCCCATATGTCCCCGCCCCCATACTTCTACCCCCACCCTACATATCCCTGCCCCCATACATCTACCCCTCACACATCCCTGCCCCCCCACACATGCAGACAAACAGATACACACGCAGACACACACACAGACACACATACAAACACACATACATACAGACACACATACACACAAACACACACATAGATACAAACACACACACATACAAACAGAGACCCATACATACAGACACACGCACACACACACACACACAGAGGCACGTACATGCTGACACACATACATACACACACACACAGAGGCACGTACATGCTGACACACATACATACACACACACATATATACACACAGACATGTAGACACACACACACTTACATACAGACACACATACAGATAGACACACTCACAAACGTACTTACAGACACACATATATTCACAGACAGCTTGATTTTCTGAGGCAACCATCATGCAGATCTACAACTTCAGGCTTGTATACAGTAATATTTTGCTCTATATATGGAGGCATCAGGGGCCCAGGGGGGCTAGATGGTGGTTTTAACACTATAGGGTCAAGAATACATGTTTGTGTTCCTGACCCTATAGTGATCCTTTAAGCTCTTCTATGCACCAATATGTGTCTTGAAATTATTTACTTATGATCTCTCTATGTAAAAATGGATAAAAACAGGAGTTACTTTAAAAAGCAGCTTTTAGGTCTGGTGGCAATTAAACACTTTTCAGATATTCAAGTGTAATTTTCTCTTCCTAACACAGAATTGTTTTTGTGTCTGAGAATCAAAGAGATATTAAACGTAAACGGTTTAATTATGTTAGATTCCCCTATGCTCTTCATAAGCTATGTTTAGGGATTAAGTGTAACGTTAAATCACTGGAACTATGCTAATTATGTCTGAACAACCAAAGACAAGTTACAATATATGGTTAAACTGAAATTAGACTTAAGGATTTTTCTGTGGATCAATGGTGGAAAGCGGTATCCCAGATGTGTGGAGGGCCTCTGAGACTTCCCCATGGGGAGAAAAATTGCAAACTATTGATGTAGTTGTTCTTGGTGCTGCATAAATTAGCTGAGATGTTCTCATTGTCTCTGCCTACATGTCAGTGGTGCCAGAAAGACCATGGATACATCATTCATGTATTTTGGTTATTCTTTCGATTAACATAGTTTTGGCTAAATATTTAATTGCTGATAAATACTTTAACTAATGTCACTTTACCTTTGGATGCAGAGATATTTATTTTGGACAGGCAAAAGGTCTCTAGTGCCATGGTCATGCATGTATTGGTTTCACAAAACTGTGTATTGCAAGGCAGTGGAGGACCACTAATTTACCTATGCTAGCTAAAGTAATAGAAATTTTGAGCATGCCTGAATTGTTGATGGGCACATTCCAGAAACATGATAAGGTATGGGGACAGTGGGACAGAGTGAAAGAAACTTTCATGTGGGAACCTCTTGACTCAGTTAGGGTTGATAGATTAGAGGGCGTCCCCAAAACATGCATTTTTTTTATTACTGCACGGTATTATAAGATTTATTTATTTTTTATATTCGATGTATCTATATGTATTTTTTTCCTTTTCTTTTCTTTGGTGTAAAAAAAAAAAAAAAAGAATATCTGTACTGGTAGGTCAGCGTGTGAAATGGCAGATGGTCCAATTGGCAGTTTGTCCTCAAGAACAGGATCAGACAAGGGTACTTAAGCTAAACAGAGGAAGGTCTTTGTGAGAGCAAGGATAGAGAGAACAGAAGCTGCCATTAAACGTTTTAGAAGAGCTAACACCCTTTATACTGTGCTTTATAAATTCTGTGATATGTTACAGTGTATCGTTTTGATGTCTATCATCAAGATTAAAGTGATAAACAAAAAAAAGGTCTGCATTTTCAAACTCTTTAAAAAAACAAAGAAAAAAAACTTTTCACATTCCTGCTTTGTCACCAGTAATAATCATGTACATGATTATCTATGTAATGCATTTATGTGTGCATTCATTTATGGCACAGATGTCTTAGTGCACACCTAACTTCATTAGCAATCATTGAAATATTTACCAAATGTTACCATGCAGGGGTTCAAAACAGGTGTGGTAATATTCTATTCAGCTCATTCTTTTTGTCAAAACTACAGATATACTTTAAAGTTACTGAAAATAATAACCATGATCTATTAAATACATTTAAATCAACAAGTGGGCATACAATGTGAACACATCGCTTATTAGAATTCTCCTAATGGAAGCTATACAATAATAGAACATACAAGTTTTATCCAACATGCTATTCTATAACCTTGAGAGTGTGCTATTCATTCTGAGACTGGAATAAAAACCCTAAATTCTGAGACTGGAATAAAAACCCTAAATGTTCCCAGATATGGTATATAGACTAAACGGCAATAGATAACTATTTTTTTTTTTTAAAGCAAGTATCTAGAAGTTCATGTCAGGCTTTAATAACATCAAAGAAGGTGCTGATAATATTATCATATTTAGTTGTTTAATGGAAATAAAGTTTTGGTCTGTAATATTATAATATTGGTATTTAGTTTGTAATGTGTGTGTATGTATGTGTGTGCGTAATATACATACATAAACAACTCACCCATAAAACTAGGCACTCACTCATGTGCTACATAGTAAAAAAAAATGACCAATGTCCGGATGCAGAAACAAGAAAGTTGGACATCATCATACATAGAAATAAGAAACTTGATATTGGCGACTTTATTTATTATTAAATTGCTGACATATTATCTAATATACAAAATATTGTATAGTGAAGAATTGCAAAATGAGACAAGAAACTAAACCTGCACTGTAATTCCTGTTCTAGTTTGTAAAGTAGTTATATCTATGCGTTCTTGCTTTTACTGGTGTGTAGGTGTGAGCAATTGTGTAAAAGCAAAGGGGAAGATGATTCTAATGGGAGATATGTAAATGTAACTATATACATGTAAACCTCTGTGTGTGTACCTGTTGGTATATATATATATATATATTTATTTCTGTGTTTGTTTATAGAATTATGTATTGGTGGACCCATATTGTCAATATATTAGTGTATCAATTAGTTCACATTTTCTTGCAAAAAGAGTACAAAAACAAGCTAAAAAAATAAACTCCAAGTTTTTAACTAACAAAAATCATATATAGTTAAACAAAGTGTGAACATAAATAAACTTATATTTATTTATTAAAGGCGAGCATTGTGAAGATGGAATCTTATATTCTGTTTGTAGTATGTGATCAACTGATATTCTAATACTCTGGAATTACGTGACTTTGCATAGGCTAGGACAATGACCTTTAGGACTGATTTAAAGGTAGATAAATCATGCACTGTATTGTAATGAAAAATAGTTTCTAGGTAATAAAGGGAAAGTACACAAGAAAAATAACGAAGTGAAAAATATCAAAACGCCACAATAAAGTAAATCATACCCTCACTAACAGGATTATTCACTCAAGTGTAAACTGTTGGGAATTCAAAATAAATTAAACAGAATTTCAGGTTTTAGGCAAAATAAATTAGAATCATTTTCTAGGTCAATTGTGTTTTTATACAAAGTGCAAAAAGTGACACAGTCTATAAGCTCTTTAAAAAATGATACCTGTATAGTTACTCTATATTGTGACTTTAACCCCTTAAGGACCAAACTTCTGGAATAAAAGGGAATCATGACATGTCACACATGTCATGTGTCCTTAAGGGGTTAAACAACTAAAAATGTAGCTGCTCCTACACTGTGATGTGTAATCCTTTGTGATACACCAAATAATTAGATACAAACAAAAAAGAAAACAGTGGAGTGATTCTTTCATAGATACCAGTAAACATGATATATACATAAATAATACCGTTTACAAGATTTTTTTGTTTTCAATATAAATCTCTGATGTGTAGATAAAAATGTGTACCTTAAAATAAAGAAATATACAATATAGTGTAAAAACATGACAAACCAAAAAATAAAATAGTGACAATGGAGCACTCAACTGGATCAGAGTTAAGAACCTAACTAAATATTTTGGCTTACAATGTGAATTTCCTTTTTTAATCAAATTTGACTTTAGTGAACCTTGTCAGTGTATATTGAACTCTCATTGCGCCTCGTTATTTTGCTGTGTTTGTATATGTTTACCTAAAGCCATACAGTGAATTGCTTATTTCTCCTTGTATATATAGAGAATCTTTACATATACCAGCAGTTTGAATGCTACCTGAGATCAGTACTACTGATAAAAGTCCATTTAGCAGTGATACTTTAAACTTGATTCCCTTATAGAGCAGGCTGTTTCTGAATCGTTACAATCATCCATCATAGTATAGAAAGTACAGCTAAAATAGCATCTCCAGTGAGCCTTAATATGGATTTTCTAAAATATTTATAAGCAGATCTGCAGTTAACGTAAAACTAGAGATGTCTTCAGTAGCGCGTGTCTATTTAGCTAACAGTAACGGTGCTAGTGTACCTGCTCTCATTTCTCAAAATATCTAATTTCACTAGAAAAATATGTTTTTAAAAATGAATTTGTATTTTCTTGAAACCACAAAGTTAAATCATGTATATTTACATAAAATATGCTCATCTTCAATATAGCTAAATTTCAGTTAGCACCAATGTTACAATTATAATTATAATAATAATAAAACTGCTTTAGAAATATGTTGTTTTGAAACACCAGGTACAATAATCACGAGAGAACTGAATTGTCTATGGTGCTACATAGCAATGGGAGCAGGCCCTCATTTTTTACAGTCATATGTTTTTTTCCCAAGAGTCAAAGGGCTAGATGCTCGAGAAATTGAATGATAATTTTCATATTGATGTCAATGGACAAATCAATTTTAATACAATCCAGCCCCAGCTGCTTGTGCAATGTCTGACTGCTAATGTATAGGTCAATTACAGCTGCCCTTGCTGAGGTGTACAATCGAAACAGGGACACTAGAACAGTTGATGAGAAAATGGGAATTATTCAACCATTTTAAATATGTTTCATATTTTGGGGATGGACTGTGGGTGCCAGTGAATTATCACGTTTGTGACCAATTGCTTGAACCTGAGGGTTTTCTAGAACCATAGCACTACATTATTCTGGTAATCTGTCCCTTTAAACATCACTGACAGTTTATCACAGCTAACTTTAAATCTAAGCAACAGCCAAACATTCTGTAAATAGAAGCATAAACTAGTTGGATTAGATTACAGTGTATCTATTTGCAGACGTTCTAAGTGCATAATTAATTCACTGCAGTTTATGTATTTTTTTCTTCAGTTTGTGCTGAAATTCAAAATGCATATAAACCCTTAGTTACATATTATGAACCCATCTCTTGAGATAGAAGTAAGTATTCAATATTCACCATTTTTTACTAAAGTATCAGATGGTATTCTTTAAAAGGTGTTAAGACAGGGGTGTTAGTTTGATAAATACTTCTTTGGTATCTCAACTTCTAAAGAAGCTGAGGGTTTATAGTTACCATGCAATCTCAGCATTGATAATGTTTGATTGAACATTGAGATGTTAGGAGTAATTTGTAAACAAAGTTTGATGTTTGGGTTTCTTGTCTAGAAATAGATGTTATGAGTGGTTATTAGAAAAAAGTAGATCTTATATGCCTAGATTTAATAAGCTTTCGAAAATGATTTAATGCCATTCAGTGGCGTCTCCAGGATTCATACTTAGGGGGGGGGGGAGGGGCACCTAATGTGCCAGGGACAAAAGTAGGGGGCAGTTACAAAATGTGTATATATGTGTGTGTGTTTATATATATCTATATATATTCTTTTTTTGTTTTTACATATGGAGGCAGTACAATAGGGATGTACTATTCCCATGGCACAAGCATCTGAAATTTAACATAAAAGTTCCTCTCCCAACAGGTATAAGACACCAAATTGCCATGGAACCTTGGTTTTCTTTCTTGTTCCATCAGGAACGGACAGAATCTGGATTTATTGTGGCGAGGCACATGGGTTGCTGACAAGGCAATAGCCTCCCAGGTGTAGAGCTGAGTGGCCTGTGTGCATTCTGCAGGAGTTACGGAGCAGGTATGTTTAGTTTACCATATGCCGAGTGCTGTCATCGGCAAAGCAAGTAGGAGTTCTCTAGCAGCAGCTAATCACTGCCCGTACGAGATGCATGCGCACAGCTGTGGAACGCATGCCCAGGTGGTAATTTTCCCATTTCCCCGGAAATTACGACAGATTTGAATCAATGCTGCAGATCTGACTGACAGCATGGATGCTGGCCAAGAAGGATCTCCCGTGTCACCAACCCCCCACATGGGTCAGAGGATTTAGAGGTAAGATTTTTCAGTCTCTAATCTTCAAGATCTCTGTGTATCTTATGTATTTAATTTTACATTGCAGATATATCTAGTCCTGCTCCTAAAAAAGCCAGTTCTAAATCAAAACATCTGAGTTGTAGTGAATGCTCCACACCACTACTAGATGGTTAAAAAGAGAAAACCTGCAATCCTTATCGCTGGAAAAGTCCAAGCAATAGGACATGAAGTCATTCTTGTCTGGGTTTCAAGACAATCTGGCTCAGACATTTGAGTCATTCAAAGATTCTGCAAAGGCAAAGGTTACAGCTCTTGTTAAAAGAACAACCAAACAAGGGATAAAACGGAAGAGATCTTCGTCTGAATCAGAACTGTCTTCGGGTGAATGTTCTATTTCTTCTTATTCGGAAACTTCCAGTGACACTTCTGTTACAAAAGTTGGTTTTCCACATGAAGAATTGAGGAGATTTATTAAGGAAGTTAATGTTACCTTCTCTGATGAAACGTAAGATAAAGCAAGTAGAAAAATCCTTCCAGTTCAACAACATATTCTGGAACTTATGTACAGAGAGGAGAAGAACCCTAAAAAAAACGGCATTTATTTCCAGACATTTCAAGAGCATTGTTAAACTACACGGAGAACACAAGTGGAAAGACTTGCCAGTAGTTGCTCAGTTGTCTAAAAAGACTACCATACGGATTGGAGAAGTCTCTGGTCTTAAAGACCCTATGGATAAAACATCCAGCAGATAAGCATATCAGGCAGCAGGATTTCAGGCTAAAGCAGCATTGGCAGGAGCTTCGGTTGCTAAAGCTCAGTACCTTTGGCTTCAAGGATTGGAAGATAGCCTGGGTGAATACCAAGATCTTTCTCACCTGTTCCAAAATTTAAGGTTATCCAATGATTACCTGCTAGATGTTATCATAGAGGTGGATTAAACTTTTGGCTCTTGTCATAGGTTTGACATCTGTGGCCTGCAGGGCACTATGGCTTAAAGCCTGGACGGCTGATACAGCCTTAAAGTCTGCACTGTGTGAACTTCCTTTGGAGAGGAAGAAATTGTTTGGTTCTCCTTTGGAAGAATTAATTCGACAAATGTCGGAAACCAAAAAGGCTCTCCCTCAGAACAGGAAGTATTCATGGAAACCCAGATACAAAAACTTCCAGTACAAGAACCATAGGGGATATCAAGACAAACCCATTTTTTTTTTGTCAACAAAGGAAAGATCCAAGGTTTGGCACACACAAAGACATCAAGTCTGACAGAGCAAAAAGTGGGCGGATGGATACAACAATTTGCTCACAGATGCACCACTGCAAATGCATGGATTCTGAATCTGGTTGCGAAAGAATACAGAATAAAGTTCTTAGGTGTTCCAAGACCAAGTTTCCTTGTCTCCTCCTCCGTTCAAAACTAAAAAAACAAGTCCTCTTCTCCGCTACGGTCACTCTTTTAAAGAAAGGTGTTGTAGAAAGAGTTCCAAGTACCCAGCTATATCAGGGTGTCTACTCCCGGTTGTTCCTGGTCCCAAAACAACACAAATTACAATGGATGCTTCAAATACAGGTTGGGGGGCTCACCTGCAGTGGCACTTAAGGCAAGGCACATAGTCCGAAGACAAAAAAGGTAATCTTCAAATTACAAGGAGTTGATAACCGTCTTAAATGCTCTTCATTAGTTCAGAGCTCTCATTGTGGGGAAAGCGGTAAAAATTCAAAAACAGGGAGGTACAAGGGTAACAAAATTGCACTCCCTTTGCACAAGGATTATGTCCTGGGCTCAAAGTCATCTAGACGACCTGTCCGCTACTCACATACGAGGGATAGACAACATTATAGCAGACGATTTGAGCAGCTCAAAATGGTCCCAGAACAAGTGGTCTCTGAATCTGGTAATTTTTTTGAACTTGTGAAAAGATTCGGTCTGCCTGTCATCGATCTAATGGCAAGAAGGTCAAATGCAAAGGTGATAACATTTGCCTCCCTCTTCAAGGAAGACATGCCTCTGGTTCTGGACGGGCTGTTGATCAGGTGGGACTTCAGCCTTGCATACATATGTCCCCCGGTGAGCCTAATCCCAAGGATTCTGCAAATGGTGAAAACAGAACAAGCAATGGTGCTGGCCATAATCCCATACTGGCCAAATTGAAACTGGTTCTTGGTTTTTATGAAGATGGTTTTGAAGTACTGTAAACTTCGGGTGTTAACAGATCTCCAGGAGAACAAAGGGGTTCCAGTAGAGGTGTTGCAAATGTTCAAATTGACAGCTTGGCTGCTGCACGGCTAATCCCGCATAGTTCAAGTTAATGCTAAATTCTACCAGAAGCTCTACCTCCACTATCTACTTGACAATTTGGACGAAATTTCTTCATTGGTTCATCTCTCATTATTGTATAAGATCTTCTCCTTCTACTAATACAATCTTGCATTTTTTTCAAGACGGCCTTCAAAAAGGTCTTAGTTTATCTACTCTCAAAGTTCAGGTTTCTGCTCTCAGCCATTTTTTGGTAAAGAACTTAGCTTCAAAACCTCTCATTAGGAGATTTTTTAAGGCTGTCTGATTTATCAAGCCTCCAAGAAAGGAGTTTTTTCCCTCTTGGGACATATCTTTGGTTTTGAAGTCTCTTTGTACCCAGCCTTTCGAACCTTTGGCAGAATCTTCCTTGAAGCTCCTGTCTTTGAAAGCTGCATTTTTGGTTGCCATAACTTCCGCAAAGAGGATAGGTGAAATTCAGGCCCTTTCCTCATCTGCTGAATTTACTAAAACTCTTCCTGACAAGGTTGTTATGTATGCAAAACCTTAATTTCTACCAAAAGTAATCTCTTCCAAAGTTATCATTCAACCAATTTCCCTGTCTTCCTTTGGTTATCCATCTGTCTCCGATTTGGATGATAATTTGCACAAGTTGGATATCGGAAGATCTCTGAAGATCTACTTAGACTGCTCCTCTACATACAGGAAGACTGACCATTTTTTTTGTCAATTTCATTGGAAAATCTAAAGGTCATGTGCCTCCAAGTCTACTTTAGTGAGATGGCTAGTGGACACGATTAAATTGGCTTATTCTTCCTCAAATCTGCCTCTGCCTGCCTCCTTGAAAGCTCATTCTACTAGAGCCATGGCTGCTTCCTTGACCGAAAAAGAACATGCTTCACCTGAAGATATCTACAGAGCCACGACATGGTCTTCATTCAACACCTTCATCAAGCATTACAGACTAGACGTATTCTCCGCCTCTGACGCTGCTTTTGGGCATAAGGTGTTACAAGTGGTGGTTGCCTAATTCCTGCCCATAGCTCTGGGATCTCGATATATCCCTATTGTACTGCCACCATATGTCAGGAAAAGCTGCAATTTTACTCAGCGTAAATAAATTTTTCCTTAATATAGTGGCAATACATCACTCCCGCTCTTTCTTAATAAATTTGATAATTTTGCAGTAATAAGTCTCTGAGGTTTTATTGGGACATACTGAGGATCCATGGCAGGTTGGTGTCTTATACCTGTTGGGGAGGAACTTTTATGTTAATTTTTTAATTTCAGATGCTTGTCCCATGGGAAGAGTACATCCCTATTGTACTGCCACCATATTAAGGAAAAAGGAATTTACGGTGAGTAAAATTGCAGTTATATATATATACACACACACACATACATACCCAGGGTTCGACAAATTCCAGGTCGCCATGGTGACTAGACATTTCGCCATGGCACCTGGCATATGTCAGCCCTTACTAAGCTGAACAGGAAACATTAAACCCGGCCGCCGCGGGGAGCATGGTAGTGGTGCACGAGGGAGCAGTAACCATCCTGCAGTTCCTTTCTGCTCCCTTGCGCGCTGTTTAGTGACATGATGTCACTCCGGCCGTGGCATCACTACAGAGAGCACGCAGGAGAGCAGAGAGAAACAGCAGGAAGGTTGACAGGAGACACACTGGACACCAGGGAAAGATCCACTCAGCTCTCCCAGAGGTAGGAAGGCTGGGTGGATTTAAATTAAAATAAAAATAGCAATTTGTGAGAAAATTCTGTGTGTCTGTGTGTATGTGTCTCAGTGTGTGTGTGTGTCTTAGTCAGTGTGTGTCTCAGTCGAAGAGTGTGTGCCTATCACTGTATGTCTGTCAGAATGTGTGTGTCTCAGTCAGAGATTGGGGGCGGAGCTTGCATACGGGGAGGCGATCTTCCATGCCGGGGAAGCTACTGCACAGTGGTGGAACTAACGTAGAGTAGGCCCTGGTGCAAAAACTGTTTTGGGTCCCTGAAGACACATGCCCATTGGGTGGCCCTAATTGCACAAGCCACTCAATGGTCCCCATTGTAACCACAACACTACAGGCCAGACACCTTTTAATGGAAACTGGAAAACCTTTTCAAGAGATGCAAGATAATTTTTTATGGTGTTTAGAAGCTATGGAATATGCTGGCGCTATATAAATACCAGTAATAATAGTAGCAGTAATAATAATAATAATAGAATGGGCTGTGGTGAAGTGTGTGTATAGAGGAGTCTGTTTATGGTGTACTATGTGTAACTAGGGGCTGTAGTGTGAGCACGTGGTCATGTACAGGAGCTTTTGAGATTGTGTGTATGCTGAAAGGGCCTGTAAAGTATGTGCGTGTGCATCTAGGGGCTGCATTGTGAGTGTATGTGTATTGGGGTGGCATTGTGTGCTTATCAAGGAGCTGTAGTTTTATATATATATATATATATATATATACATATATAATGCGATTTGGTGTGTAATGGGGTGAAGCATATATGTATGTATGCATGTGTGTGTGGGGGTGAAGGTATGTAGGGAAGAGATGTGTGTGAGGGGTGCACTGTGTGTGTATGCAAAGGTGTACTCTGTTGATGGGAGTGTACTGTATGTGGGGGTTTAATGTATGTGAGTGTGTACTGTGTTTATGGGGTTTAGAAAGTGGGATAGGGAAGACCTTTACAATTTTTACTTTGATAATTATGTAAAAAAAAAAAGATTAATATATTCCCCTTTACCTATCTTACCTTGCAGGGAAGGGATGACACAATCAGATATGTGCTGGTTGAGAAGGCTGCCTATCCATCGGGTACAAGGGAGTCACAAAATGATTTCTCTTGGAGCTCTAGCAGTTACACAGACTGACTCATACGAACCCACAGACTGACCCATACACACACACACACACACACACACTGACCCATACACACACACACACACACACACACACATAGACTGACCCATACACACACACACACACACACAGACTGCCCCCACACACAGACTGATCCATATAGACACGTAGACTGATGCATACACACACACAGACTGACCCCCACACACACACAAACTGACCCACCCACCCACACACACAGACTGACCCATACACACACACAGACTGACCCACCCCACACAGACTGACAAATTCACACAAACTGACCCACACACAGACTGAACGACCCACCTCCACACTCATACACACACAGACTGAGCCCCACCCCACACAGACTGACCCATACACACACACACACACACACACTCAGACTGACCTCACACCATCCCCCCCTCTCCACACACACACACACTGACTTACACTTACCAGCAGCTGCCTGAACCACACACACACTGACTTACACTTACCGGCAGCTGCCTGGATGACTCTGTGCAGAGCTGGGCTTCCTCTCCCTGTCTCTCCCCTGCGCTGCTCTGTGTGACCCAGAAAGAAGTCCTCCCAGCACAGTGCCCCCTCTGGCCGAAGGGAGACTCATTGCTCTCGACTTCAATTTTAATTGGGAGGGCACAACATGATGTGCGTGGGGCCATGGCCCCCCTCTGCCCTCTCCACCCCCAGCGACGCCACTGATGCCATTAGAAAAACATTCTAAATGATTTATCAACAAAAGTCGCCATTACAGTCTTTGGGGAGTTTTGTAGATAAATCATTTAGAAATATTTCCTAGCCATACTGAATCATTTGGAAAGCTTATTAAATGAAGGCCATGGTTAGTTAGACAAATTAACATGTTATAGTTATAAGTGCAGCCAATTCTGAAACCATATCACTGGCCAGAGTAGAATGACAATTATTTTTTTTTTTCATTAGTGGGCTGGATTATAACCATAACCATGACTGCATTACTTTATTGCACTTGATTTCTAAATGATAAGGCTTATTACCTGTATTTTCCTTAAAGAAACAATCTAAGCAACATAACTACTACATCCTGCTGTAGTGGTTATGGTGTCAGGAGTGTCCTGAAACCCTCCCAAAGTTAAGTACCGTATAGTATGTTAAGTAATGTTTACTCACTAATTTGGGACATGTAGAAAATTTGCAGGGTATCTACAATTTTTAGGCCCAATTCCCAGTTTAGCGAAAAAAACATTTTATTTGCTATTTCTTAGGCTAGAGCTAGGAAATTGCAGGCTTCAAGCATGGATGTTTCATTGACTGAACTTTACTGCTGTAATTTATTCAACATTTGTTTCTGTACAATATGTTGCATTGTGGATTCTATTGCAAATACACAGAACACTGTCTTTGTAAAAAGCACCTTAACTTGAGGAAAATAAGTACTTTTATTATTATTGGAAAGTGTGACGTATACAATCTTTTTGTAGTATGTAATCGAAGAGGAAATAGAAATTAGTCATACATGAATATGTTGTGCCTTAATGTGATGTTAAATCTTAATGATTTTTATATTATGATTATTCTGTAAAGTAATTGTTTGCTAGAATCCAAATAGGTGTCACATATTGTGTTAAAATATTTTGTGTATACATTTCTGGTTCTGTTAATCTTGCACATTAGTAATGTGCTGGATATCTTTTGTTGTTGATGTATTGTTTGTGTTCCTTATTTGCAATCATTAAATAGTTTTTAAACCAATAGCATTGTGCATCTTTTTTCAAATTTTTTCTAGATATGTTTTTCTGTAAAAATGCACACGTTATATATATTACATGTCATTTCACACAGTTATGCTTTAAACAATGTCTAACGCTAGAGCGATAATACAATAGAAAGTGTTACACCCAAAGCCAAATAAAAATGATGCGCACTGTATGCTTGGAATGAAACATTTTATTATAACATAAAATCTCATGAATTGAGGTGCTTGCAGGATTAAAAAAAAAAGCATTGAAAATATATTTTAATAATCTGTTTTAGAGAGTTGAGCCTAAACAGTTAGTTGCAGTTAGTTGTGAAAAGACTTGCAAAATTTAACCCAAAATTGTTGTGGTTGAAAATTCTCCAAATTATCACTTATATGATATATTTTTCCAATTGTGCTATTTTGGTTTAAATTTTGCATGTTGGTTGACAATTCACTACTGGCCCACAGACATTTGAAGTGGCTGTAAAAAAGAACCTCAATGGAAATGTTCACCTTTCTGAGGGAAACATGCATGGCTATTGCCAGTTCAATAATTTCCACAACAATGCAAAAAATTATAAAAAATATATAATTATCAAACACATTAGGAGCTAGTTTCTGTTATAAGACATTTATCAGAGATAAGTGTATCTCTGGAAACTGAATACTAATTTATCAGCTAGAGAACTTCTATTCAGCTACCAGTGTTTTCTTAAGCAATACAATCCAGACATTAATGTAAGCATAGCTCATACTATTTTAAATTACTATAAGGGACACTTTTACTTTGGAGGATGTGGCAGGGACAAAACATTTACTGGGTTAGTCATTTGGCAGAGGCATTGATAGATGTGTGCCTTGGAGTTTGCAGCCCCCAATGTAGGACTTTTAAGCCTTGAATCCCTTCAGAGTCACCACCAGGTGTGTGTAACAGTTGCACGTTCAATTCAAGATCAAAACAGTTCAGGTCCTCTTGCCTCAAATTTGATATTAACTTTGAATTCTCTTGTTCGTAAATATCCATAATAGAGAAGAAAATGTAGATTCTCCTTCTCATTAGGGTCCTCCAGGTTTCATTCTTGCCTTGAAGTGCCCCCTGAGTCATAACCCTTCAGCCATCTTAGTCTTTGACTGCAGGGTTCCGACAGCTGCCAGTTCAACAGCTGCAAGGAATCATAGATTGAGAAGCCAGCATGATTTTTCCCAGTGGGTGGGCATAAACTGAATGTATTTTTAAAAAATATTGGCAAACAGCCATTTTGGGGTGTTTTTTATTGATCTGGGAAACCACCAACAATAAATTCCCTCAGTCCCCTCACTGAGCACACGTTCTTTACTAATTGCCAGCAACAAAGGTCAATAAAGCCTGCATATCACTCAACATTTCAAATGGGCAAATAGGAACACTAGAGGTGTAAGTGGGGTGTGGGTAGAGGTGCGGCTGTTCTGAGATATTCCAGGTGACTTAGTGAAAACAATTAATGCAGCTAAAATATAATTTAGAACAAAAAAAATGTACCTTATGTACACAGACTGATTTCTGAACACATTTATTGTAGTTTAAGTGCGAATTACTGTGGAACTCTGTTATACACCAACAATATGGAGCTTCTAGAAAAGAGGGAGATCAGGATAGAAAAGAGGGACAGAGGGATGTGGACCCAAAATAGGGGCACTTTGGAGGAACTGGTCTGATCGAATACAGCTTCATTGTGGTGTAGTGAACCACAAAAACAAACATATATACTCCAGGATTACATTAAAAAATCTCTATTTATTAGCTTCAAAATTTAAAGCCATACAAGGGCCAACATAGTGTTTGACTGTTTTTAAAGGGCCCATCAAAAGTCCATTTACAAACAGTCAAGCACTATGATGGAGCGATGACAGCAGACAGCCTGTACTGGAGAAATGACAGCGTGACTGCTCTAACTCAGCACACCAGGACACATCTGGATGGGGCAAAAGTTTAGGCGGCGATGAGTATGAAAGGCACTAAGAAAATCGTAGGTCCAAATGGAGAGAAATATGAAAGAAGACTGGGAAATATGGGATGAGAGGAGACATACATTGAAGGCATGTGAGATGCAATGTAAAAGAAAGTGAAGGAATGAATGTGAAATGAAGGGAAGGAGAAATGAGATGGAAAATAGAAATTACCTAAAGTGAAGGATATATAAGATGGTAATAGACAGATGAAATTAAGGAAGTAAGCATAGGTGTAACAAGAAATCGACGGGGCTCTGTGCAAAAATTGCCATTAAGCTTCCCCATGTGCTCATTCTTCCCCCAAATGCTCCATGTGTCTTATCCCCCCCAGCCCTTTCACGTGTCTCATTTCCCCATGCCCCTTCATGTGTCTCATTCCCCCAACCCTTTCATATCTCTCATTCCCTCCAAGCCCCTTCACCCCCACCCCTTTATGTGTCTCATCCCCCAGTTACTTCATGTGTCTCATTCCTCCCTCCAGCCCTTTCATGTCTCTCATTCTTCCCAAAGCCCCCTTCTGTGTCTCATTCCTCTCAGCCCTTTCATGTCCCATTCACCCCCAGCCCCTTCATGTGTCTTACCCCACCAGCTCTTTCATGTGTCTCATTCCCCTCCAAGTCTCATACCCATCCTATCCTGGACCTTGATACATCCTTTCCCCTCCTTTGCCTCCTGTGGAGGATCCTCTGTTTCTGTCAGGAAGTGCTTACTAGGAGCACTTCCTGTCAGACTACATACAAAGATAGGCAGGAGGGGAGCGGGGTGTTGTGTGCTCCCCACTTGCCAGTCACCCTAAAATTATGTCGGCCCACAGTCACATGGGTCAACAGGGTGGCCGGGCCCTCTGCAGTGATGGCCCTGGTTGCAGCTGTGGCCCCTGTGACCATGGTAGTTACACCACTGGGAGGAAGGTGTCATGCAGATTAAACAGAAAAAAGGTTATATGAGATTCACATCAACCATTCGGGACTTTGGGTCATGCTATTTGCATCTCTCTATCAGTACTTTGGTGTCATTATATATGTGTGAATATTTATTACTTATTTGTGCATGGTACATGTCTGTGCATGAGAGTTTTAGTGTCTGTGTATGATATTCTTTTTTATATATGTATGTTTTTCTCTGAGTACTAATGCCAAGGGTAGAGTAATCGGTACATCAACCATGCTATGGGCTCAAGCCCCAGGTGGTTTTGAGACTCAACACCCTTCTAATTTGTTATAGCATAAAACTATTTTATTTTCATAAAATATTTTTTAAACACTCTTACTCAGTACAAATTACAGAGTTGTATTGTAGTGGACCTCTGCGATAAACACATACACTGCAAAGAGATATGGGATTGTATTATAAATAATAATCCTAATAATAATAATTCAGACCAATTCTGTATTTCTAGAAAAGTGATACACCGTCCAGGCCAGAAAAACAGGTACATTTCAAAACAAAGGTAATCAATCTATGGCATAGACTTAGGTATCCAATCTAGTCCTCAAGACACAACAGTTCAACTTTTAGTTATTTCCCATTCCTGTTTCCATGACAATTCTGACCAAACTTGGACTGCTGATATGCCTTGAGGACTGTGTTGTGGACCACTAGAGAACAAGCCATGCATTTATTCTATCGAATACCTCTCTCTTGGTGCTCAGACTAATGTGGAAGCATTAGCTCAAGCAGTAAAGAGGAGGCAGTGATGGGCTGAGAGTGAAACCTGTAGCCTTAAATGGAAAAACGCAAATGAGGTAATGGAATGTTTCAGGTACCACTGAAGGAATCTCGATTATTTAATCAGACTTGCTTGCTCTATATTCCTGTGGAGTTTAAAAGAACACACCCCGGGTTCCATAGTCACTTTATCTCAATGATGCTTGATACTTATTTGGATATTTATGAATATCAATATATACATTAAAGTAATGGTTTATGCTAGGTTAATGCACTAGTTGTGCACAATGTACTTTGCCTATATATATGCTACTTACTAAACAATATTTTTAAACAAAAAGAACTTTAAAAGGAGCTGAAGCAAATACATAGTTTGGGAGGATATCACAGTCACTCATATTAAAATATCTTCTCTCTGTGTACAAGCAATCATGCTGGCTCTGCCCCTGATCTGCCTTTTTGTCAGTCTCAGCCAATCCTATGGGGAAGCATTGTGATTGGATTAGGCTACCACATGTGAGCAGACTGCTTGTTTTTCTGAGTCTAACAGCATGTAGATTTACAGCTTCAGGCTTGAATACAGTAAGATGTTTACTATATTTATGGAGGCATGAGGGGCCCAGGGGGTCTAGATGGTGGTGTTAACACTATAGGGTCAGGAATACATGTTTGTGTTCCTGACCCTATAGTGATCCTTTAATTTAGTTCCAATTTCCCAAACAAAAAATCCTACTCTTCCATTTTGAAAAAAAAAACCTCTCCATTGAATAACAGAGCTGTAAGAACTATTCCCACTGCAAAGACTCTTTTAATTGATTATAATAGCTAAGCCTTCAAGTCAATGCATAAATCACATTTTTGTTAGGAGGAAATGCATTGATCATGAAAATCACGAATACCTTAAGGACATGGGGGAGGTGTGCCACATGCAAAAAAGCAAAGCACCTTCTAAACAGCAGGAAATGATGGATACTCTTAGCTACTCTTAGCTATCTATCTGCTATCAAACAATGGCTGCCGATTATTCTTTGTTTATCCCAAACATTGTGCTATGCAGCATACAGTCTTACAATACTATAAGATGCGCTTTATTACCGACATGTCTTAGGTTATTAATAATAAGCTGTGGACAGTGATCCTTTTAATTTTGAGAAAATAAATTATATTTGCAAGTGATGTTCATATCTAATCGAAGCATGGCAAATTATATTTTCATGATAACATTTTCTTAGCTACAATGTGCTCTGTTAAGCAGAGTTTAACCCCTTAAGGACGGAGGCAATTGTACACATTCTGATCAAAACATGTCTGTTAAACCGTAATTCACCTCTTTCATATTATGTGCAACAACACTTATTATATATCATTTTACTCGGGAGAAACAGGGCTTTCATTTCACTTCAAATATTTAGCTATGAAACATAATTTTAGTATGAATAAAATATAAAAACGTGTGAGAAATTAAGAAATTTTATTTTTAGTCCTGCATGGCATTTTAACAGTGAATGTCATAATAGTGTTTGCTGTTACTGCATTAAAATACACATATTTGTATTGAGTGACGTCTCACAAGTGAAACAATCCCCCCTCCCCCCTTCCCCCACCCAAGTACAGGTTATATGGTGTTTTGGAAAGTTACAGGGTCAAATATAGCATGTTACATTTTTCAGTTTATACACATTTTCTAGACTGGTTCTGTTGCCTTTGAGACCACACAGTAGCCCAGGAATGAGAATTACCCCATGATGGAATACCATTTGCAAAAGTAGACAACTCAAGGTATTACAAATTGGGTATATCCAGTCTTTTTTAGTAGCCATTTAGTAACAAATGCTGGCCAAAGTTCATATTTGTTTGTGTGTGAAAAAAAGCAAGAAACTAATTTTAACACAATTTTGTTTAGTGTTGGGCTGAGCGAATGAGATACATGGGGACACTAGGAGAATGAGACACATGGGCACACTGCGGGAATCAGACACATAAGGACACTTGGGAAATTAGACACATAGGGAACTGAGGGAATGAGACACATGGGCACACTGGAGCAATGAGACACATGAATGGAGGTATTGGGAGGGAGAATGAGACACATTGGGGGACTGGAGGAATGAGACACATGGGGGACTGGAGGAATGAGACAATGGTGGGGAGGGAATGAAACACATGACTAGAGGTGCTGCGGGAATGAGACACATTGAGGGGCTTGGGGAATGAGATACTTGAGGAACTTTGGGAATGAGGAGTATGCCTCAGTATTCAAACAACTGACGTAGATTTTGTTGATTTTCTTCTCACTTATTAATTTAATTATCGTGATTTCAGTTTTTTGTATAATTAATAAATCATATTAATAAAATTATATTTCAAATATTTAGTTCTGTTGAATATCCCAATAAATTTAATTGTGCCCCTCGAATATTTCAAAATTTTTACATGAGGCTCTTACAGACATGAAGTTTGGCCACTCCTGGCTTAGTGCAAAGTGATTGGCTTCCAGAGCTCCAAGCTCACTAAATAAAAAATATACTCTGGATCTCTGCAGCAATTAAACTGCCTTGGTGCATGTGCATATAATAATTAAAAATCCACCGTTCAGCCCACCAATTGTTTGATTTCACCATATAGCTTCATAACAACAAACCCTCAAGAAATGTAAATTTGCTAAATACTAATGCAGGGGACATTTGACATGTAAATTGTACCACACATACCAAAATCCTCAAACCTAAAATAGATTGAATGACCTATGACTTGTAGAAAAAACATAGAAATAACCAATATTTACTAATGTAAAAATTCCTTGATCAGAAACCAATCACACTGAGACCAAACCAACGCCCTGTGACAAAAGTCAGAATTGTGAAACGCACATTTAGATAGTCTACCAGTAAGAATAAAACATACCCTGTGCTAATATGAGACAGTCTGCGAAAATTGCTTCAGTCATATTGTGTCAGGAACCTTGGAATACTCCCAATCTGCTTGTGTTCCCTAGCTGCTGTACATCCCTTGCAGTAAAAGAATAACCCATTCTATGAGCCCCCTAATCATCACCCTGCTACTATGTCATAGATATGTGAACACTGTGACACTGAAGTGGAAAGGACAGGAAGTAACGTGGTTTTGTCAAGAAATGCTGGGATCTTGAAGTTCAAGTCACAAGCATTTTAGAATGCAGAATAAACCCACTCCACAACTATAGGCTTACAGCCTGGACATATATCTATTTACCTATATCTATGTCATTAAATTGTTGGAAAAGTAAGTTGTTTTTAAAATGTTAAGCCATTTTAAAAGTTCCATTTAAAAAATAAAAAGCCAAAAACTTTAAATCATTTGAAATGCTTATCCAAACTATTAATTGAAGGCCAAGTTAGGTATTTAGTATGCTCAATCATTCACAGCATTATGGAAAATATATGCCCATTGCCCACTGAGCATGCATTTCTGGAAAATCAACACACTGCTAAGGAGGGTGATCCGCCACGGGTGCCACTGATTAGAGGGGTGGCTGGGGGGGGGGTGATCTCCAAGTAACCTGATGAAGGGGAGCGCGCTGTACAGAATGAAGGGGAAAGGGGCTGTGGAGGTAAGGGGGCTAAAGAGTGGAGAAGAGGCGGGCTAAAGAGGGCACAGAAGGTTAGGGAGATTAAATAAAAATACAGGAGGGGAGGGGACTAAAAAGTGCACAGAAGGTTAGGAAGGCTAAAAAAAACACAGGAGGGGAGGGGGCTAAAGAGGGCACAAGAGGTGAGGGAAATAAGTGCACAGGAGGGCTGGCAGGGTACAAAAATCACAGGAGGCAAGGGGGCTAAATAATAATGAAGGGGTGAGGGTCTGTGGAGGGAAGAGTGGAAAGAAGGGGGGCTAAGAAGTGGAGGAGAGGGGGTTAAAGAATACACAGACGGAGATGGAGACTAAATAAAAGCACAGGAGGGAAGGTGGCTAAAGAGGGCAGAGAAGGTGAGGGAGGCAAAAAAAAAGCACAGGAGGTCGAAGGGGGCTAAAGTGGGCACAGGGAGGTGGGAGGTCTAAAGAGGGCACAGGGAGCTGGAGCAGGGCAAATGAGGGCACAGGAGGGGGGAAGAACTGCATAGAAGGGGAGCGGTTTAAAGAGTGCACAAAGAGGTGAGGGGGTAAAAGAGGGCACAGGAGGGTGGGAGGAAGTGCAGAGGAGGGGATGGGGGCTAAAGAAATCACAGGAGGGGAGGGGGCTAAATAAGGGCACAGGAGGAGAGGGGGATAGAATAGTGCACAGGAGGGGGGACTAAAGAGTGCACAGGTGGAGAGGGGGCAAAAGAAGGGCACAGGAGGGGGGCAAATGAAGGGCACAGGAGGAGGGAGGGAAGAACTGCATAGAAATGGAGCAGGAGGGGAGGGGCTAAATAAGGGCACAGGAGGCGAGTGGGATAGAATAGTGCACTGGAGGGGGGACTAAAGAGTGCACAGGTGGAGAGGGGCAAAAGAAGGGCACAGGAGGGGGGGAAATGAAGGGCACAGGAGGAGGAAGCATAGTCAGAAACACAAAAAGGCTGGGGGAAAAGGCACAGAAAGGGGCTGAGGGGCACACAGAGACACACAAAGGGGCTGGGGGCACAAAGAGACACACTGAAAGGGCTGGGAGCGCAATGACACATAGAAGGGCTGAGGTGGATCAAAGACACACACAGATGGGCTGAGGGGGGACAAAGAGACACACAGATGGGGCAGAGGGGGACAAGGAGACACACAGAGGGGCTGATGGGCACAGACACACAGGAGGCTGAAGGAACAAAGAGGCAGATAGAAGCACCAGGGGGGACAAAAAGACACACAGAGTTGCTGGGGAAGGGGAAAAATAAAGACATCTTGTAGTCTCTAAAGGGGCCTTAAGGGAACTCTTTTTAACATACAGTTTACAAGTTTGTACAATGAGTATTTTTAAAAACAGTAAAAATATATTGTGGGTGTTTTTTTACATTTTAAAGTTGTGTGTGTGTGGGGGGGGGGGGTTTGTACCTGGTGCAGTATGTTTATTACTAGTTGCAGTGTGTGTGGTGAACAAATGCACTATGCATAGTTAAGGAAAATGCTCCATTGTTAGTATGTTTATTACTAGTTGCAGTATGTGTTCGGTATTAGGTGCAGTATGTTTATTACTAGCCCTTCTCCAGAAAGAAGATCAGTTGCAGTGTGTGATTAGTGTACTAGTTGCAGTGTGTGTTCATTAGTATGTTTATTACTAGTTGCAGTGTGTGTTTGGTATTAGGTGCAGTATGTTTATTACTAGTTGCAGTGTGTGTTTGGTACCTGGTGCAGTATGTCTATTACTAGTTGCAGTGTGTTTGGTACCTGGTGCAGTATGTTTATTACTAGTTGCAGTGTGTGTTTGGTATTAGGTGCAGTATGTTTATTACTAGTTGCAGTGTGTGTTTGGTATTAGGTGCAGTATGTCTATTACTAGTTGCAGTGTGTGTTCGGTATTAGGTGCAGTATGTTTATTACTAGTTGCAGTGTGTGTTTGGTATTAGGTGCAGTATGTTTATTACTAGTTGCAGTGTGTGTTTGGTACCTGGTGCAGTATGTCTATTACTAGTTGCAGTGTGTGTTTGGTATTCGGTTCAGTATGTTTATTACTAGTTGCAGTGTGTGTTTAGTACCTGGTGCAGTACGTTTATTACTAGTTGCAGTGTGTGTTTGGTATTAGGTGCAGTATGTTTATTACTAGTTGCAGTGTGTGTTTGGTATTAAGTGCAGTATGTCTATTACTAGTTGCAGTGTGTGTTCGGTATTAGGTGCAGTATGTTTATGACTAGTTGCAGTGTGTTTGGTACCTGGTGTAGTATGTTTATTACTAGTTGCAGTATGTGTTCGGTATTAGGTGCAGTATGTTTATTACTAGTTGCAGTGTGTTTGGTACCTGGTGCAGTATGTTTATTACTAGTTGCAGTATGTGTTTGGTATTCGGTACAGTATGTTTATTACTAGTTGCAGTGTGTGTTTGGTATTAGGTACAGTATGTTTATTACTAGTTGCAGTATGTGTTCGGTATTAGGTGCAGTATGTTTATTACTAGTTGCAGTGTGTTTGGTACCTGGTGCAGTATGTTTATTACTAGTTGCAGTATGTGTTTGGTATTAGGTGCAGTATGTTTATTACTAGTTGCAGTGTGTGTTTGGTATTAGGTGCAGTATGTTTATTACTAGTTGCAGTGTGTTTGGTACCTGGTGCAGTATGTCTATTACTAGTTGCAGTGTGTGTTTGGTATTAGGTGCAGTATGTTTATTACTAGTTGCAGTATGTGTTCGGTATTAGGTGCAGTATGTTTATTACTAGTTGCAGTGTGTGTTTTGTACCTGGTGCAGTATGTTTATTACTAGTTGCAGTGTGTGTTTGGTATTAGGTGCAGTATGTTTATTACTAGTTGCAGTATGTGTTCGGTATTAGGTGCAGTATGTTTATTACTAGTTGCAGTGTGTGTTTTGTACCTGGTGCAGTATGTTTATTACTAGTTGCAGTGTGTGTTTGGTATTAGGTGCAGTATGTTTATTACTAGTTGCAGTGTGTTTGGTACCTGGTGCAGTATGTTTATTACTAGTTGCAGTGTGTGTTTTGTACCTGGTGCAGTATGTTTATTACTAGTTGCAGTATGTGTTCGGTATTAGGTGCAGTATGTTTATTACTAGTTGCAGTGTGTGTTGGTATTAGGTGCAGTATGTTTATTACTAGTTGCAGTGTGTGTTGGTATTAGGTGCAGTATGTTTATTACTAGTTGCAGTGTGTTTGGTACCTGGTGCAGTATGTTTATTACTAGTTGCAGTGTGTGTTCGGTATTAGGTGCAGTATGTTTATTACTAGTTGCAGTATGTGTTCGGTATTAGGTGCAGTATGTTTATTACTAGCTGCAGTGTGTGTTTGGTACCTGGTGCAGTATGTCTATTACTAGTTGCAGTGTGTTTGGTACCTGGTGCAGTATGTCTATTACTAGTTGCAGTGTGTGTTCGGTATTAGGTGCAGTATGTTTATTACTAGTTGCAGTGTGTTTGGTACCTGGTGCAGTTTGTTTATTACTAGCTGCAGTGTGTTTGGTATTAGGTGCAGTATGTTTATTACTAGTTGCAGTGTGTTTGGTACCTGGTGCAGTATGTTTATTACTAGTTGCAGTCTGTGTTCGGTATTAGGTGCAGTATGTTTATTACTAGTTGCAGTGTGTGTTTGGAACCTGGTGCAGTATGTTTATTACTAGTTGCAGTTTGTGTTCGGTATTAGGTGCAGTATGTTTACTAGTAGTTGCAGTGTGTTTGGTACCTGGTGCAGTATGTCTATTACTAGTTGCAGTGTGTGTTTGGTATTAGGTGCAGTATGTCTATTACTAGTTGCAGTGTGTGTTTGGTATTAGGTGCAGTATGTTTATTACTAGTTGCAGTGTGTTTGGTACCTGGTGCAGTATGTTTATGACTAGTTGTAGTATGTGTTTGGCATTAGGTGCAGTATGTTTATTACTAGGTGCAGTGTGTGTTTGACACCTGGTGCAATATGTTTATTACTAGTTGAACAGTGTGTGTTTTGTGCAGTGTCTGCATACAGCACTGTGCCTGGGAGCCAGCTATAACAGTGCACAAAGCTACCAGCAGTATCACTGCAGCCAAGCTCCTGATTGTGAAGGGGGAGAGAGAGATAGAGACATAGCCTGGTGGGGGAGGGCAGGGGATGGGTGGATAAGTGGTGTATTCTCCTGTCTGCAGCTGACTGATACCGCTATCCCAGCCTGCGGAGTATTATTATTACTATTATACACACCCTGTCAGGCCAGCATGAAATTCCCTGGCTCAGTCTTGGTGTCAGTCTCCCTGTTTGTGGCAGAGACAGTGACGGCCCTCTACCTCTGTTTCACATACAGCTTGGCCGGGGACAGGATCTGGCAGGACCTGACCCTCCTGTTCTGCCTCCTGCCCTGCTTGCTGGTGCAAATCTGCCTCATCTTTGTCCACCGGGATCTCAGCAGGGACCGACCCCTGGTACTGCTTCTGCACCTGCTGCAGCTGGGACCCCTGGTCAGGTGAGGAGGGGCCTATAGGCAGCAGGGGGTTAATGGAGTTACCTCATTGTAACCTAATGCTGGTACATGTAAGGATACAACGTATTTAGGAGAGGCTGTTCCACTCTTTACGATTTATTTCACCCTCTCTGCATTGCATTGTCATCACCCCTGCATCTTGCCAATCCCCAGTCAGGAAAGCAATTTAAAAAGACAAATAATTTGGGAATTATCCTCTGGCACTTCAGCCCTGATAATGTATATGTAAAATAGATATTCATGTGTGTGCAAATAACTAAGTAAAACTATTAATAGTAATAATAATTTCAAAAACAATATCGATCTCTCATAGTGCTGCATATATTCGAATAAAGTATTTAATTTTCAGCAAAGTAAAAATGGTTACTTGACATTTTAAATGAACAGAAATCAGTTATCAGAATTCCAATAACGTCAAATGATCTTTGTTGGCATAATGTCAGATACAGCCATTGAGCCAATAAATCATTATAGAATTCTGGGAAAGAAAACAGGGCAAGCGATTGATAGGTGTTTTATAGCCACTTTTAGATCTTATGGATAACATTGTTTTGTATACCATAACAGGGTTTGTGGTTTGTATATATTATTGCATGTGATGTTGTGAGGAGAGTTCAACAAGACATGAGACAACTGATCATTGATGTGTTATAAATGAAAACATGTTAAACTGGTCCTAATTATGCTAAATAAGTAGTTTTTTTTCCATATTCTTTATTTCTGAAAATTCTTACAATGAGTTTTACACCATTTTTATATATGTATGAAGGATTTGAAAAGAATACAAAAAATAAATGTAACACATATCCATCTATGTCATATTTTGTGTTCAGCAAGATCAAATGTTTCATAGTTATTGACAGGTAAACCATGAGTTTTTCCACAACATTTTCCTAAAATGTAATGTTTTTCCACAACATTTTCCTAATAAATTACAATGTAGCTACATATTACAACATTTATGAATATAATGTGTGAAGTAATCACAATGAGTTGTGTAGAATGCATGAAAGTTTTCACATAAAGTGTTAAATTCTAGAATGTTATTATTATTTATTTTCTGTTATCCGTGTTAGATTGGTGTACAAATCATTCAAGGGAAAACAAGATAGGTAAAATATGATGCAGCCCTTATCACCCTATTGTTAAATCACAGATATCAGATGTAATCTACTTCCAGGCGATGTCAGAAAGATGACATAATCTGGATATTATTTGGTGACACAGCAACAGAAGAAAGATAGGGAATCCTGGCCCTACTGCCACGTGAACACTAATATAAGGGACTAAACAACTCATCGACTTTCTAGAATTAAAATGTTCATCCTTTGAGCAAGGAGTTTCTTCCCTTGTGATTATTAAAGTTAACGGGCTCTTTCTTATCCACACTTTGCTTGCATGCATGTTTGAATTTTTGTTATAACTCCTTTTTGCGTATAATATTCTTATCTAATACCTCAAGAGATTGACAAAATATGGGAAGGAGACAGAAGGCAGTCTGTGGCGAGGGAGAGCTAATGTTATTGCTCTTCCTGTTCCTCGCATTGCTATCTCATGCCATGCAGCAATGCCAGGAGCCACTCTAATAACTACCGCCCCGGCATTGCAACACAACGTGAGAGGCACAGCGAGGAACTGGAAGATTACAAGAGCCACTGGACCCCAGGGAGAGGATTCACACCAACTCACCCAAAGGTAGAGAGGAAGGAAAGGCCTAAAAAAACACAAGGTAAGATAATTTGTGAGTGTGTGTGCACAAATGTGTGAGTGTGTCTGTCAGTGAGAGTGTGTCTGTCAGTGAGTATGTCTGTTGGTGCGTGTATTTCAAATCTGTGAGCTTGTGTGTCTGTCATTAAGAGTGTGTGTCAGAGTGTCTGTCAGTATGTGTATGTGTCTGTCAGTGAGTGTTTCTGTCAGTGAGTGCCTGTCAGTGTGTGTTTATCTATGTGTCTGTCAGTGAGTGTGTTTCAAATCAGTGAGAGTGTGTGTCTGTCATTGAGAGTGTGTGTCAGTGTGTCTGTCTGTGAGTGTTTCTGTCAGTGAGTGCCTATCAGTATGTGTTTTTGTACGTGTGTGTCTGTCAGTGAGTGTGTTTCAAATCAGTGAGAGTGTGTGCCTGTCAGTGAGAGTGTGTGTCTGTCAGCAAAAGTGCGTGTCTCTCAGTGAAAGTGTATGAAAGTCAGTGAGCCTGTGTCTGATTTCAAAGTAGGCGAGACTTATAGATGGAGAGGTGGAGTTGTTGCTATAGAAACATTCATGTCTGGACTGGACATTTGAAAAGGGGAGGAATTAGTAAGATGACCATGCCCACCTGGGTATCAAATGTCTGCACCCAGGTGTTGTGATGCTACGATCGCCCTAAATGCATTATCTTTTACTACATAGAAATATTCTAAAATACAAGGCTTACTTAAAAAGGGGGGAAACTTATGTTTTTTTTTAAACCCACTAACAGTGTATTATAGCAAATAAGTGCACAGTTTGCCAAGAGTAATTGGGGGCACACCTGAAATAAAGATTATGGATTAATGATTAGCACATACAAAAACTAAAATAACACCTAGTCCTCGTATTAAAATACACCCTTTCGTTTTGTTTACATTTAGATTTTTTCTTCCCTGCAGTGCGCATATTACTTTATTTTAGTTTACTTTATTTTTTTTAAAAATGTTTATTGTTATCCTCAGGAAACTGCTACTACTGCTAAGTATATTGCGTAATCAAAGAGAAACTGGAAAAAAATGATGCCTAATAAATACAGAATGATGGTCACAGCACAGACATCAATAATTATTTTGACTGTGGTTCTATAAACAATTGAGAAATAGCCTTAAGAATCCTCATATATTGTTACCATAATAGCTAAGAATACAAGGCATTTATCCCATGGAAGGTAAGTGAATGCAGATACCAGATATTTCTACCAATATCTGTATCCAATCTGGATGTAAGGCTTATGGCTTTTAGTATATATAATAACAGACACTGGGTAACCAGGCCTTAACTGATGTATAGGAATGATTGCTTGCAAGATGGCAATAAACAACACAATCTATTCTCTATTTGACAACATGGTAAATATGTTCTTCCTTCATGGTGATGTCTGTAAAATGGTGTATGTAAAATAACACGTATGTCCACATATTTTACAGGTGTGTGGAAGTCTTCTACATTTACTTCAGGGCTGATAAAATAGAGGAGCCTTATGTCAGTATCACCAAGAAGAGGCAGCTACCCAAGGGAGGCTGCTCAGATGAAGTGGAGAAAGAAGTGGGTCGAGCTGAGGGGAAGTTGTTTACACACAGATCTGCTTTCAGCCGAGCCTCAGTCATCCAGGCCTTCCTGGGGTCGGCACCACAGCTGACACTCCAGCTCTACATTAGTGTACTGCAGCAATACATTACCCTGTCCAGGTGTAAGTCATCCGTTCTTTATCACTTCCGTCTATTTGGAAATCGATGACAGCATTTATTAAATACAATAAATATACACTATTACTCAGTAATGCTAATTATCTGACAAGCATCCACCTTATAAAGTGTTGCTTTTATATACAATTTGATAAAAAAAATAATAATGTATATGTAATAATTAAATAATATGACAAGATACAGTTACAAAGCACATTGTAGGGCATTGGAGCCTGTGGCAGGGTTTTCTTCTCCTATAGATGTGTGTTTCATAAATTCCCCAATATATCCAATTTGGAAAATTATGTGCAAGTCCACCAATCTACATATGTTTTTCAAATGAATCTATTTTGGTCTTTATTTAGCAGCTTGCCCTAAGCACAATTCTAGACTTGCATATTTGGGTTTGAACGAATAGCAATTTGCCCAAATTTTAGGAGATTGTCGATTTGTCTGAAATACCAAACCATTTGAAGGTAGCAGGAAACAAACAAAATAGCCGAATGGACAAACTGTTTAATATGTTTCATGATTCAAAATTTAAAATACCAACTATCTGCATGATGGCAGCACAAGCAGCCAGTGGGCAAATATTTAAAAAACAAAACTCAACCTAGTCAGGGTTAATCATTATATAAGCACTGATAACTTACAAAATGAATACACATTTAGATGTCTATAATGAGCCACCAATAGCCAAGTGTAAATGATAATAATAGATTATTCTCATTTAAAGGGACAGTGTTCTTACTATTTGCATGTGATAATCACTGGCAGCCCAGCTGCAGAGTATTCCCATTTTTATGTGGGTAGTGCATTTAGAATGTATTTACTAAACAGAGAAATTAAGTGGTTTATTGGGAATCAATTTTGAATTGGTCTGGTCTGCATATTGTTTTTTCAAATAAATCTGTTTTGGTCTTGATTTAGCAGCTTGCCCTAAACACACTTCTCTATATGTAGTTATTATTTTGACATGTGTTGCTAACAATGCCACTGTGATGCTCTTTGCACTAACCTAAAAAGGTCATTCCTGCATTCCTGATAAAAGTCTGAAAACAGTTTTCAGCTGTCATTACAGAAACTTGACTGTTGTATACCTAGATATGTCCTTTACAGCACTATTTTTAAAGGGACAATTGAAGTGCCACAACCTCCAATACTTCTTGCAGCGATAAAGAAACAAGGAGCCCCTCTGTCTATCTTTCCTTATATTCTGTTGCTTATAGCTGCAGACATTTGGAATAAAAATTGGTACAGCTGTAAGCCCTCTCCCTCTCTCTATGATGTCACAGGGAGAAGAAATAATTATACCTGTTTGTGATTCTAGCTTTATAAAGGAGAGCCTGTGTTTTGTTCTCAGCTGTCTACATTCATGAGTAAACAAGAATAAAGCTTTTACTGCTGTGGCTTCTAAAGGCTTTTTCAGTCTTTTCATCTGCTGAATTATATCTATTAAACCTGCTGGCCATGCACTCATACCATGAGATACACTCAGTATTCAAATAAAGATCTACATATGGATTTGGATACTTACTAGGTATATTTAAGACAAGTAAACTAGCATGTCTCTGGTCTTCTGCCTTGATGGAGGTTGTGGGTCTGTTTCCCTTGCTCTCTTTTCAGCTTTGGCTTGAAACAGGTTGTGATTTCTCTATGAAGGAGGTAGCTAAATGTCTCTTATAATGCATATGCACATTATATTGGCATATTTATTATATCTGTGAGGGAACTAGCATTGACTGATCGCGGTATTCCAAAGAGGTGTCCCTTCCCAGAGCCACATATTTATTGAGCATGAGTTGTACCTGCCGACTTTGGAATTTAGAATGCTTCAGTACAGGGAACGGAATTTTGCACCTGCATTTCATATGAAACTAGAAAAAGTATAGATAGATGCACAGAATTAGAATCAGCAACAAATGTAAGGAACTCCTCTCAATAATATATATTTATATATAATATTCTTATTGCAAGATAATATCAGACAAACAATTTATCATCATGATTTATCAAAGAACACAATACTAAGTAATAATATAGTGGATGATTAGTTATTCACTGATCACTGTGTATCAAATTGTAGTTCACACTATAATGAAGGTTTTTGCCCTATGTTATCCATGACGATTATACATGTAATTTAAATTATAAATGTAAATGGTAACTCCAAGCATCATGACTACTTCTGTTTATTAGCTTATGTATCCTTATCAAAAAAAGTTTTATAGGTACACTACAGGCATCCAAACAACCTTAGCACAATTAAGCAGTTTTGGTGTATAGATCATGCCACTGTAGTCTCACTGCTAAATTCTCTGCCATTTGGGAGTTAAATCTCATTTGTTTCTGCCCATGCAGCCCTGACCACACCTCCCCTGATTGTAACTGACACAGCCTGGATTATAAAAACAAAATTATTTTTCAATCAGATGTTATCTTACTTTAGAAGTCTTTATTCTGCTCTGTAAATTCAATTTTAATCACACAGGAGGCTCCTGCAGTGTCTATGAGTCTATTAACAGAGCAGGAGATGCGGAAGTCTAGATTAAACAGACTGTGCAATACAGGAACCTGAAATATCTAGGTTCTTCTCTCGGAAGTGTTTAGGAAGGCTGTGTAAGTCACAGGAGGTGTGTCTAGGGCTGTATAAACAAAGTGATTTAAATCCTCAATTACAGAGAATTGAGCAGTATGACTGCAGGGGCATGATCTACACAACAAAACTGCCTCATTATGCTACAGTTGCTTTAGTGCTTATAGTGTCCATTCAAATTCTCTACTACCATAAAACCTGTTGTTTAACGGAACATTTTCTTATTGATTTTTCAGCCATATTTATGAGCATCTCTCTACTGTCCATTGTCTATGGAGCCTTGCGGTGCAACATCTTGGCCATAAAAATAAAGTATGATGATTATGATATCAGCGTTAGACCAGCTGCCTACCTCTGCATTTTTCTTTGGAGAGTGTTTGAGATTGCTACCAGAGTCACCGTACTTGTCCTCTTTAGCTCAGTTTTACAAATCTGGACCCTGCCTGTTGTTTTGCTAAACTTTTTCATTTTCTTCTTTTACCCATGGATCCTCTTCTGGAAGAGCCAATCTCCTTTTCCTGAAAACATAGAAAAGGCCCTATCAAGGGTTGGTACAACCATGGTTCTATGCTGTCTTACCTTCCTGTATGCTGGAATCAACATGTTCTGTTGGTCTGCGGTCCAACTTAAACTAAATGATTCTGATTTAATCAACAAATCTCAAAACTGGTACTGCATGGCAGTGTATTATATGCTACGGTTTGTTGAAAATGCCTCCCTATTATTGTTATGGTACATATTCAAAACAGATATTTACATCTATGTCTGTGCTCCTCTGCTGGTCTTGCAGCTGCTTATTGGGTATTGTATCTCTGTGCTGTTTATGTTGATCTTCTATCAGTTTTGTCATCCCTGCAAGAAACTATTTTCATCAAGTATCTCGGATGGGTTGCTGACATGTTTTAAGTTTTTGTGTTACATGTGTATACCGTCAAGAGAGCCATCAAAGGGAGATAAATTTGGAGCCAAATTATCTGACAGTTCTGAGATCATGGATCAACCAAGCTCTAAAGGTATGGAGTCACAAAATGGAAACTCTCACCACAATGTTTCTTCCAATGCGTGACATGGAATTTGGTGATAGAGCTACATTTCTGATGAATATTTTCCAGATCACCTGTAGGACTGTGCAGTCTTTACACACATAGAAAGTACTGTCATTGCCAAATGTGCAAATGTGCAGCAGTACCATAATGAGAACAACGTGTGTACTCAGGTAATAACTGTTGGAGATAATGTTGAGCTTCATCCTTTCATTGGAGAATTGGACAATATGCATTTCACTGCATCGAAGAAGGGTAGTACATTGCAGTGTGCTCTATTTACATATAAGAGGAGGCGCTTCAACAGCGCCATTCATTAAAATAAATATTTTGTTTTGTTGCACGGTAATATAGAAAATAATGTATCCAGAATATAAAAAATAACAAGCTGTGAATAGCAGTCACGTACAATAGGAGTTTTTGACAGAAGGAGTCTCTTTAACCCCTTAAGGACACATGACATGTGTGACATGTAATGATTCCCTTTTATTCCAGAAGTTTGGTCCTTAACGGGTTAAAGTTGTAAGGTTTTTACTCCCAAATATTTCACAACAGCTTTTATATTTGAAGGGTCATCTAAAATTTCAGGAGGTTCTTGCTTCCTAGAATTGCAATTATCTTAAGGATGTATATGTTATTAATGCATTGATGGAGTTTAAAGATGAGGTCTAATAAGTCTAATAAGTTTACATTGCATGTATATGCAGTATATCTATTTATACAGATTGCAGTAATTAATTGTGAGCACTATACTTATGAATCATGTATTTATTAACGAATGTCTATCCCCAGGTGTGTCTATTGTATAGGTATATGTATAATGTTAGTAAAGGTGTGTGTGTGTGTGTGTGTGTGTGTGTGTGTGCAAAAGCTATTATATAATTATGACATCTACTGATGTGGTAGTGAAATGCACTGTAAAAGGCTAACTGCAGGTATTGTTCATAATTAAAAATGATAGAAAAATAATGTATCAATGTAAAATAAAACCATGCTTTTGAAATGTATGGACATACTAGTCTTTTCCAATAAGTTAAGTAAAACACGTGTGCATTTAGCATCACCACATGTGATACTGTTACTCTTTCTTAGCACACAGTGTTATTTTATAAAATAAACACATTTTTCAAGTGAAAATTCTCTCCTGTAAATCTTTTTTTTTTTTGAAAGTGCTGGAAAATGCATCAAGATTTACAAGAGAAGCAAATGTAAAGAGGTTAAGGTTTTCTATATACTTTTTTTTTTTTTTTAACCAAACTAATAACAATAAAACAAACAATAAAACAAACAGCATAATTACTTTAGGGATATATTATCATTTACTTCCATGAGTGGATCTGTGGACACCATTAAAGGAAATATCTGAGAAACAGTCAAGTAAACTGCTTTGATTTAACTGTATATGATAAATACCTTGATATAATTAGACCAGAAAATTGCCAGTAGCAAAAGATATAAATGGCCTAAGGATGCTATATATATATATATATATATATATATATATATACAGAAATTTTGGGGCCCCTAACTCAGCTAAGGGTCTGGGCTCCCTGGGGCCCGCCTCCAAATACTGCCCACAGGGTCCGCCTTCAAATACCGCCCACAGGAATACACACACAGACACAAACACACACACTGATACAAAAGGACACAGATACATACTAACAGACACACATACTGAAACAGACATACACACATACAGGCATACATACTGACACACACATACTGAGACATAGACACATATACAGACACACAGGCATACATAGTGACAGACAGACACATACTAACATACATACAGACACACATGCATGATGACATAAAGACACATACATACATAAACACTGACATAGAAGACACTCTATCAGCTGAAACAGTGACTAAGTCAACTTAACCTCTGATATTTATTGGGACTATTTATTTTTTATTTTATTTTTTATATTTTTAGTATTTTTTTATTATTCTCTTTTTGGCGCAGCCTTTCTTTCTTCTTGTTATATATACATACATACTGACAGACATACAGACATATATACATACATACAGACAGAAATATATATATACATACAGGCATACATTGATACTGGCATACATACATATATACATACATACAGACATACTGACAGACATACATACATACATACTGACAGACATACATACATACAGACATACTTAATGACATACATTGATACTTGCATACATACATATATACATACATACAGACATACTGACAGACATATATACATACAGACATACTGACAGACATATATACATACATACTGACAGACATACATGCATACAGACATACATAATGACATACATTGATACTTGCATACATACATACATTCATAATGACATACATACTGACAGACATGCATACATACAGACATACATTCATAATGACATACATATATATATTCATACAGACACACACACACAGCTCATTTTCCAGCCACCCTCCTGTTTCTGACCTTTTCTTTGCAGGAGGGTGGCTGGGGCTGATGGAACTGGGAGTCGGCACGGCTCTCCCTCACTGCCTGGCTTGCGGTCCTCCTGCGCGGAGTGAGCTGGGAGGAAGTGGTCACTTCCTCCCAGCATCACTTGCTGCGGCTTTGTTTTGTTTTGTTTTTTTAAAGGGGCCCGGTCACGTTATACCACGGCCACAGCGCTGACCGGGCCCCTGAAGATATAGGGCCCATGGGGTGGCCATAAGTGCATGGGCCACCCGATAGGCCCCATCAGCATGCGGGCCCCGCTGGAACTGCACCGGTGTCAGTTCCGCCTCTACACGTGGGGCCCGGGCGGCCAGGCCCCCCAGTGCCGGTGGGCCTGTGACAACCGTTATGGTTGTCGCCCCCTAATGGTGGCCCTGTATATATATAATACTTTCCATCTCTTCTTCCCTCTACTCCTCTGCCATTGTTGCCTCCCTCTGTCTTCCACTATCCTCTTCCCACTGTTTCCCCTTCAACCCACTGGTTACTAACCTAGTCACTGTTGTCTACTCTCCCTCATCTCTTCTCATTGCTGTCCCAACTCACTTTTTCATTATGACATAACCTTCCTTTATTACCAGCAAACCACTCCCTGTGTTACATCTTCCAGTCAGTGTTCTTTCAATGATCCCCCTTTCCAAATGATTCTCTCTTCAGAAAAGGGAATCATTAAATGAGAGAGAGAGAGAGAAATAATATCAGGAAATATTACTTTACTGAGAGGGTAGTGGATGCATGGAATAGCATTCCAGTTGAAGTGGCAGGGGTTAACACAGTGAAGGAGTTTATGCATGCATGGGATAGGCATAAGGCAATAACCCTAGCTATAAGATAAGGCCAGGGACTAAAGAGAGGATTTAGAAAATTGGGCAGACTAGATGGGCCGAATAGTTCTTATTTGCCGTCACATTCTATGTTTCTTGCTGATTTGGCAGAGTTGGTGGGTGAGGTTGTGGGGCTGTTATATACAAACAGTATCTAACTATGTAGCTGGCACTGAGCTATATCTTATTATTGTAAATACAATGTATAAAACTCATAAAGCATATGATGATACACTTTACAATAACTCTCAGTTGGGAAAGTTTATAAAGAAATTGGTGTAAAGACAAACACACATCCATTTGGTTTGATGAATAGCCCTCTATCCATACCCATACTCACTCACTAATGTAGGACTAAACAAAATACACAGATGTCATAATAAAGTAGCCCACATAGAAATAGGCATGAGTATCTGTGTCTGTGTCTAGCTGGCGATTGCAAAATATAATGGCAATTTTTTATTCCACAGCCTGATATCCATCATTTTGTGACATTGGATTTCTGTAGATTAAGTTACATTAATATTATTACTAGCATTTATAAAGCTCCAACATATCCCGCAGTGCTGGTAGAAGACCTATAAATGATCTGCATTTATGATTAGTACTCAGTTTCATATCTGCTTCAAATTGCACATATATAGATTACAAACATATTTTTTATATTGCTTTAGCAGACTGTGGTTTCTTGTGCATGGTTATAATTACAACAGTATTCTATTTTGTAATTGTGTCTTATCAGCAGGTTTTTGTTGTATCTGCTGGTAATCAGTGAATTAGTTCCTATTGGCTTATGTGAAAAAAAAAAAATCAAACACTCAACAATCAAAATTATAGTATTCAAAAATAAGTACTGTGACAATCCTGAAGTCCTTTAATGTGACAAAGTAGACAATTTTGTCAAGCTAGCAATCTAGGTTTTATATAAGTCAGTCTTTGACAAGAACCAGTTTTATCTTTTACGGTAATCTTTGTAAACGGGAACCACATTGGTGATTGGTTATTACAACTCTACACACAAGTCACCCACATTCTAGCCAGGATATAACAGTGTACATATAAGATGTGACTTTTGTTATTGGAATACAATCCAATTTAAATATTTCACCAGTAATAAAAAATGTATCAGTACTGCAGTGGTTCTTAGTTTCTGCTTGAGAGAAAAGAACTGGTGTGCTTTGAGAACCATGGAAGGACTGGCGAGTATGGGCAGGAGGGCAATTTCCCTCCTTCTAGCACATATGTATTTATGTGTAGTGGACTATACTATCCTATCACACTATTCTTCAGAGCAGTAAAATAGGAAGTGCATTTTGATGTTAAGTCCTGCAATAGTGAAGCAGCAGGCAATATGTGTGGGTTTTGCATGAACTGGTGGCCCACAATCTTAATGCTATCCAGCCTTGGACTGGCCCACTGGGATATTGACTGGTGCTATGCAGTATCTGTGGCTGATCAGACAGCCAGACTATGATAAGTATGTATAATACATGTGTTTTTATGGAGGTGTTTATGCGTGACCATAGGGTAAGATATAACATTGCTCATGAACACATGCTTGTTGCATATCTGCCAACACTGGCAGCCCCAGGAGTGATACGCCAGTGGGAGGAGTTAAATGGGGCCAGTGAAATAATCTTATAGCTGGCTTTTCACGAAATGGGGGGCCAAAAAGGGGGCCAAACCACCAAAATTACTGGCAGGTCAATCAATTAAGCAGACCAATCATTCTGTAAGGATCCTAATACAAAATGCAATGATTCACAGGGACAATATCATTTATTTGAATTTCTCAACATTCACAAACAAAAATTACTATCTAGTGAACACAATGTTATCTGACAATTCTGAAGGCATCCGTAAGCCACTTGACCTTTGGTATTTTCCCCCACTGAACAGTTCACCGTTGTTATTTTATCTCACTCTAAAATGTATTATACTGGTTTGTTTTTTTAGCATGAAACATGCTATACATATCAAATTGCATTCAAATTAGCAGGCACATTTTCTAAACCCATGCACATAAAAGGTAAATTCATAAATAAGCAGATAAATTAACCTACTGTGAAATCTATCAAATGTTATGTTCCTAATGCCATAATAGTTTTGTCACTACTTCTGTATCCTATACACACATATTTTCAAGATGTGATGGGAAATGAAAAAGAATATTAAAACTACTTATGTTATCACTTTATAACTTCATAGTATTCTATGAAAATGTATTTGGTTTTACTTCCTTTTAACATTAGGTGGCAGTAGAGTACTTCATTGCATTCATTTAACAGTGATTTAATTGGAACTTCATATACTATATTCAAATTTCTGAGTTGTATAATTGCCTTATAATCAACGCTTTCTGAAATATATTTATGTTTAAAAGACATGTGTTCTAAAGCAATATAATTTTGTATGCACTTATTTGCGTAAATTCTGACCACTGTCACCAAAATTCCACAAAATGACCTATATCATTGTTTGCAGTAACAATTTATCAGATGCACGGAGGTTTGCTAATGCTTTGAATAAGTTATTATTTTTTATTTTTTTTATGAAGATGAATCCTTATGAAGATGAAGTGAGTCCAATGCAAACAAATACTGTACTACGGTGACTTCGGGACTGATGCAAATATTGGTTGTGTTCTGTGTTTTTAGAGTTTGATATCTCTTTGACTTACTGATAGACTTGAAGATTAGTTTCGGACTGACTATTCAGCTGAATTTGGGCTGATCAGGTATTCAACCAAATTCCCAAATTCCAAGACAAAATATACCTGACATAAAATTAAGCGGACATGTTTGGAGAGGTTCAATATTAG